AACGGATCGCGATTTGAAAAGGCCCCGAGCGCTCGGCGGCCGGGATCTCGCGAGAGGAGCGGACGAGGCCCCGCGACTTGGGGAGCGAGCGGGGGCGGGGCTCCTGCGCGGCCACCTGCGGAGAACGCGCCAGCAGCCAAGGGGCGCGGGCGTAGGGGTCCTCCGGGGGAGGGGCGATTGGATACAGGAAGTACGCCAGCGTCGTCTCTGGAGAGGGATGCTCGACGTCGCCACCGTGCCCCAGAGTCACTCGGGGACCTTCAGTCCGGTGAATCCGTGACTGGTGGCCGCACCGGTTGACTACTTTCTCTGAGGTCTGAAGAACTCTGTAGACCTTAGCAATCAGCTAGGAAGTTGAAGTTTCTAAATTCTCGAGGCAGCAGCCATGTGGACAATCTGTAATTTTCTTAAGAACTGTTGTACAAGGGGCCCGGAGGGAGAGCCCCGCAGTTAGGATAACGGGCTGCTCTTGCAGAGGACCCAGGTTCGGTTCCCAGCACCCACATGGAGGAGCGCCAACTCCCTCTTCTGACCCCACAGGCACTAGGCCTGCACTTGGTGCACATAAATAGATGCAAGCAAAACACACGTGGAATAAAAGTAAATATTTATCAAATAAAGCCGGGCGGTGGTGGTGCACGCCTTTAATCCCATCACCCGGGAGGTAGAAGCAGGTAGGTCTCTGTGAGTTCAAGGTCAGCCTGCTCTACAGAGCGAGTTCACGCCAGTTGACGCTGTGACCCTGTAAAACCCTATCTCGAAACAAAGAATTTTACAAGATTAGCTACAAATATACATTCTGGGTTTTGGTTATAGATTTTTTTCCCTTATGAAAAACACAAATTTAACTTCAGTACTATAATTGGACTTCACACTAAAATGGTCTTTTTCTGCTGAAAAATGCAAAGACCTCTTCAAACGTTTCTTTCCGTTAAAAAGTGAGTGGCATACTGCAAGCGTCTTTTATAAGTGAGGTGATCTTTAAAATGCTGCCTTTAGGGCACTGTCCACATAGTGTCCTAACACAGCAGGTGCTACTGCACTCTCTAGGTTTGTGTCTCTCTCCAGTCAACCCTGGGGGCTAGTGTTTGCAGTTAAGATAGGTACTGGGTTGGAATCAGGCCGGGACAGTCGGAGTTGGAGCCCATCTCTACTCTTTCTGCTTCAACTCCTTGGGTAAGTCTCCTCGCTTCTCAACCTCCCTCGCAGGGAGGATAGCGATACCTCCCTTGCAGGGTAAGGATTTAAAGAAAACGTTCACAGAGGAGCCAAGTGCTAAAGTATTCTGGTCTCTATATCTTAAGACTCCCATGGTGTTTCAGTCAAGGAGAAGCCAGATGGTTTTTCCCTTAAATAGTTGGTAAATTGCAATACCTTTCCAGGTATTCATCATCCTGTTATTCTTTTGCTATCTTTGAATTTCACCAAGAAATTCAATCTGGCAGTCCCTGGTGTAGTAGATTCTTGCAAGATCTTTTTCTCATTTCAATACTTTTTAAGAGTTCTTCGTGGCCAAAGCATAATCAGTACATAAAAGGTACCGGAGGAATACTAGAGCCCTGCTAGAGGAAGACATTGGTAAATACCAGTAATGGGAGCTCTGACTGAGATAAAGGCATAATTTAATTAAACACACACATGTGAGACTTGCCCATGCTGCATTTTATGCCAATATAAATATTCCATTGAAAGTTCTATCTTAATGATTGCGCTTTCGAGGGCCGGGGTTTAAATTTTGTGCCTAAGACAAATGGTTCCCTGCCTACACTTTAGTCATGATCTTGATGACTGCATAAAGGGCAGAGGGTGATGTCAACATGAAGGGCTCCTGGAAGAGACAGGTCGTGGAAGGCTGGTTCAGTGGAGCTGTTCCCATGCAGAGGAGAAACTGCCCTGTACCCGGACCGTTCTTTCACCCACACTGCTGCCATCATATTTAACTGTCTCGAAGTCTACAACAGATGGAGTGAAATTTCTCTACTCCCCTCACTGGGATTTTTTTTTTTTAGTGTATGTATGCACATTAAAAAACACGTAGGTAACAAATGTTCAAGTTTCTTCCCTCGGTTCTTACTGCAAAATTGTTATCCCTCACAACTGCACAAAGCATATTTCTAGAGGTTTGACTAGGAATGAGCCCCTTTTGCTCGTGTATTTGAACACTCAGACCCCAGTTGGTTGTGCTGTTTGGGGAGACTTAGGGGATGTAGCCCTGTTGGAGGAGGTATGTCATTAGGGGTGGACTTTGAGAGTTTAAAGACTCATGCTATTCCCAGTTCCCTCTCTCTGCTTCCTGCAAGATATAAGTTCTCAGCTTGCTGCTCCAACTGCCTGCCTGCCTCCTGTCCTGCCTCCCCGACACGATATGGCTCTTCTGCCTCTGGAACTGTAAAACCAGATAAACTCTCCCTTCTGTAAGTTGCCTTGGCCTTGGTATTTTATCACAGCAATAGAAAAGAAACGAATATATTCCTGGAATAAAGTCACAGGGACACTTGGTTTTCCTTCTCAAAAATTGGAATGTGTGGGCTGGAGAGATGGCTCAGTGGTTAAGAGCATTGCCTGCTCTTCCAAAGGTCCTGAGTTCAATTCCCAGCAACCGCATGGTGGCTCACAACCATCTGTAATGAGGTCTGGTGCCCTCTTCTGGCCTGCAGGCATACACACAGACAGAATATTGTATGCATAATAAATCAATAAATAAATATTATAAAAAAATTGGAATGTGTATTTACAAACATGTATGAGAGAGGGAAGCCTTCTTGCATATTAGAAATGGAACACCAAAATCCAGTCTTTTCTGTCAATAGCTTAATATGCCTTATCATTTGTCATCAGCTGATAGCAATGAGGGGAAATAATTGCTTCCTAAGCAAGATGGGCTTTGTTAATGAAGAAAATGAAGTAAACTGATATATCCTAGAGATGCTACACTAGCCTCATAGTCATAATTCCAGGCTCCACTTCCTCACTTTGTGGCCACCCTAGTGTGAGATTTTGATCCTTAAAGAGGCTCCATGACCCTAGGCTATTGCTGGCAATTTGGGCATCTTCTCTGCATCTTGGGTCAGAAGTCGTTCTCAGTAGAAGGAAACATCCTGTTGAGAAGTCTCATTCACTTCCAGAGATGGACCAAAACCGCATCCAGGAATCACTGAGCTGTGGAGGGGATGTGAAATAGGCGAGTGCCTCGTTGCCAAGGGGATTCTGTTACCAAAGAGTGGGGGGGGGGGGATGAAATGGAATGACAACTAGGATACCATCAGTCTTTTTCTCTGTAAGAATTAAAATACAAAGGCCAGACCAGGCATAGAGGGGCACACCTATAGTCCCAACACCAAGGAGGTAGAGACAGGAACATCTAGGATTCTGGATCATTCTCAGCTATGTAGTAAATTTAAGCCAGCCTAGGCTACTTGAGTGTGCTGGTGTATTTTTGTCAGCCTGACACAAACTAGAGTCACCTGGGAAGAGGAAACCTCTGTTGAGGCATTGTCTCCATCAGACTGGCCTGTCCAAATGACTGAAACATTTCATGCATTAATGATTGATTTGAAGGGACTGGGCCACTGTGGGTGGTACCACACCTGGGCAGGTGATACTGGGTTGTATAAGAAAGCAGGCTGAGCAAGCAATAGGGAATAAGTCAGTAAGCCGTGTTCATCCACGGCCTCTGCATCAGTTCCTGCCTTCAGGTTGGTGCCTTGAGCTCCTGCACTGACACCCCTCCGTGATGTAAACCAAGTTGCCTGGTGTTTTATCACAGAGACAGAGAAGCAAACTAGGGCATGGAGACCTTGTCTCAGGGGGAAAATAGAGAGAAGAAAGATCATACCATGATCACACACACACACATGCACACACACAATCAGCAAAACAGAACATATGACAAATTAAATGGTTGAATTTGGATGCACTAAGCATCTAAACTAAGTGTTTATAGATCTAAGAATATATCTCAGTGGGAGAGTGCTTGTCTAACAGAGTTCAATCCAGAGTACTGTACCCTGTTCTGTTTTGCAGTTCGTCGTATGATGGAAATACAGAGGCTTCTCACTAAATAATAGAAAGAAACATTTGAACCACTTTCTAATGCCTTAGCTTTCGTCACCTTTACCTCAGTGTCACCTAGGAAGTCCACCCAAAGGCAGATTAGAGCGAGTTCTGGAGAGGCCTGCCCACTTTCCTTTGCACAGGAAGAGACACTCCCTTTCCCTAACACGTGGGAGAATGGGGCTTCCTCCATCCCAAGTCGTGGATATTAAATGGTAATATTTTAACCATTTTGTCTGGCACCCTCACTCTAAGAGCACCAAGAGATGGCTACCTCTCATTGTTGTGGCCTTTAATTTAAATATTTATATTTTTACAGCATTGTTCTCAATTTTTAATTATGACATTTAGAAGAGAAAATAATACTCCTTAGGATGATGATTTGCGAGGTTCAATCCATACGCTGCTCTGAATATTTGGAAATAATCATTAGAAGCTGATAGAGAAGATAGCTAACAAAACCAGCCATCCTCTTTCTATCTGCTGATAGTAAATGCATTGGCAATGATAATTACCAGAAGTCCATGCTTCCTCCTCTGTTTGCAGCTACATGTACCTTAGAGGGTATATTTCTGGTCAGTAAAATCTAAGAGAAACATTGACTGGCCCCTGGAGGAGAGTCTTAGAGGAAAGTCATTTAACAAGGACCATGGTCCCTCCGACCTCTTTTGTCTTCCCTCATCATTGGCTTAGAAAAGAGAAATGACGTTTACTGCAACGACTACTTTGTAGGACCCAGAAAGTGACCTCATAACTGGAAACTAAGGATGAGGAGCAGGATAAAAGAATCAGGATGAGACTGTGAAGCAACGTTAACTACCCTAGCATCCTAACTCCCGTCTTGCTTTCTACAAGGACTAAAAAATGCTTACCCTGATTAAACTGCTGCTTCTCGGCATCTTCCCATTACGCACAACTGAACTTGATCGTATTGAGAATAGCTTTCGATGGGAAGGACTGATTTGCTTAATAACTTCTATATGATGGTTTAAAATGGTTTTCTGATGACACCACTCACATGTGTTCTTGACCTGTTCTTTGCTTTATCCAATAGAATACTGCAAGTTCCCTGTCTTATGTCCATTCTCTGCTCTCCTTACCGAATAGAAGCAGCTTTGCTTCGAGTGACAACGGGCCCAGGTAAATGATGCGCATGCGCACATGACACGGCTCCATCTACTGAGTTGTGAGGCGTAGTATTCAAGGGATTCTGAAAGTGCCTAATTTCCTGACAAGTTCTTTGTTTTTCTTCCTCCCTGTGTGGTCGGAAAGTTGGGCGTGCATATATATGGTAACCATGATTCAACAAACTAAGGGCAGATCGACTTGCGAACAGCTGCAGAGGAAGAAGATAAAGACTTGAAACTCTGCTGACGTCAGGGAACCCCTATATAAGACTTTGACTGTCCATAACCAGGCTTGATGTTTTCTGAAGGAGATTAGCTCCATCGCAGCCCTTTCAACAGACGCATTCATTACTGACAGGTACTTATCAATGCAGTTGGTCGGAAGCAATGATCTTACAGTAGTTTACAAATGTGACTTATCTTGTGGTACTGCATTACAGAGGAGTAGGTTGAATTTATTTCATGTCAATGTATTTCAAGTCACAAGCCATTTAGATATGTTAAAATATATGAAACTGTATAATGTGAATAAAAACAAACTTGATAGCATGTATTCCCATTCTTTTCATATCTGCTTCAGGTATCAGAGGGGAAAAAGCAAAGCTTGTCATAGGAGGAAGGCCCTCATTCTGGGCCCTATATGCTTTCACAAGAACTAGCTGGGCTGGGAGAGCGGAAGTTGAGGAGTTATTGCTAGAGTTTGAAAAATTAGAACGGTAAGGAATGGAGAGGACTCAGCAGCATTAGCCCTTGTGGACTGTGAAAGTCTGAAGACTCCTAACGCCCAGCAACACCCTGTCTGCCCTTTGCTATGACCACTAAGTTACGTGCAGCAGCTGCTGGGTCAAATGGCTTCTCCTCTCCCCTCTCACAAAGTTGCAACAATGTTGCTCATTGGCAGAATTTATACTGGAATACACCTAGAGAGAGATTTTTGGCAATGGTGAATAGTCAAGAGTCCTATGTAGTACAATTTCCACTTAGCACAGTTTCTGATATATAAATACACACACACACACACACACACACACACACACAAAGGCATTTACAAACATAAGGGTAGTTGGTAACATAATCAAAGCATGAAAGCTAAAATGAGTTTATGATATTTTTAGACTTCACAAATTTGACTAAGAACAAAAATAATGATGAGAAGATAAGGGATGACTGATGTATGAAAAGCTCATACAAAGATAAGGAAAAATTATGAAATGGGAATTTTCAAGATAGCCGAGGAGAAAGGGGAATGCATGAATGTGACCTGGGCATCAGACCGATAGCCTCAGAATATACCTCATTTGGCCCAGTAACTGGACTTAGAATTCAGTTATTTTTTTTTAACTTGGTAGTCAAAGTTATCAAAACATAACATCCTGGAGGAAAAAACAACAATTTTCCTCAATCTGTTGACATCCCCATTTGTCAGTTACGTATCCACTGACTGACACTATAGACTCATATACTGTTAACAGAGAAAAGGATGGATTTTTGAAATAATTTCAGTCAGTTCCTGTTATCCATGGTTCAAAATTTGCAGAGACTGTGTTGAAAGTAACATATTATTCTATTGAACAATAGGTATAGAAAAGAGCTTGAATTATGGTTTAAATGAAACTGTTTAGAAGCATGTGGAGAGTAAAATTAAAACCAATTGAATCAAGCTTCATTTTAATCCTCACTTGGAGCTGAAACATTGGGTGCATCTATCTTTGCCGGAAAAAAAAAAATTCCAGCGAAATGTAATGTTGTCGGTGAGTCTCATCAACTAGGCCAGCCTTAGGCCGTTATCCACACTGGAGCATCATCCGCTCATTTCATGTGAGTCCACCCGGATAATTCCTTCACTGTTGACAAAGTCCTGCACAGTCATTTTCCAAACCAGTCGTTCCATTACCAAACTCTCCCCTCCCATTTCAGCACTGGCTACTCCAGAGATCCCAGATGATAAAATGACCTGGGGGGAGGAGGTTAAGGAGAAAAGAAAGGAAGGAAGCGAACAGAGTAATAAACAACAACACAAACCCACAGAACTTTGAAGTTCTCAGTACTGAGCTGAGAAACTTGAGATGAGCGCCTGCTCCATTTATTCGGCGCGGAAGCTTTTTATTGGTCCTCTTGAATTACACTGGGATGATAGGAATGAACCTCTAGAAAGCACAGGATGTGCCTACATGGGGAGCAGAATATCTGCAATTGTGTCCTTTTGTTTGGAGAAGTAGCAGATATCGCTTACTAAAATTTCCAAAACATCCAAACCCTCACTCCACACAGATGAAAATAACTGGTGGCGTTTGCAAAGTTGAAAGTGACATTCAAGCTTGATAGGAAAATATTTTTAAAATCAGTCAACTTCAAAACACAAATGATTGTCTAAATACTTTCTAAAAATCACAAGGTTATTAAAATTTTAAATGTAAAAAATAAATCGAATAAAGTAACTCTACCCAAATTAGTCTGTATGTTTCTTCAGCATATTGATTTTTGTTACTCAATGTTTGCGTTAACTGTGCTAGGTAATAAAAAGAATCACATTTGAAGACTCTACCTATTTCAGTCATCAACCAGAAAATGTGGATTCTGCAGAGAAGAAGAAAGCAGCATCTTGGCTCTACTGTGACTCCAGGAAGTCATCCCAATATAAAAACCCTGGGTGCAAAAATTACCAGTGAAGCGGCTCCAGGTAGGCAAGACCTCCCTGGGAAGAACCCTTGACTGATTCAGTAGAAGAAGGTCTTGCTTTCTTTTTCATTGCAATGCGGTCTTGCTAGACTACATTCTGAGTGAGGCTGTCCTCTGTGCTTGCGAATTCCTATAAGTTATCACATCTTCATACAAGGTAGAAATGAACACTTCCCAGGTCTGGGGAGTTGGCTTGGTTGCAAAGTTGAATTATGATGTGAATGGGAAGACCTGAATTTGAATCCTCGGCATACATGCAAAAGCAGGGGGTGATAGTACATGTCTGTAGCCCCAGTGCTGAGGAGGGGGAGTCAGGACGATCCCTGAAGCTCATTGACCAGTCAGCCTAGCTGGGTCTGAGTGCCAGGTTCAATAAGAGACTTTGTCTCAGGGTCTCAAATAATTAATAATAATAATAATAATAATAACAATATAGAGAGTAATGAAGACATTAATAGTACACACACACACACACACACAGAGAGAGAGAGAGAGAGAGAGAGAGAGAGAGAGAGAGAGATTAATGCTTCTGATCTCTAACTTAATTAAAAGACTTTGTTGTAAAGGACAATATTTAGAGTATAGAAAAGAAACAGAATACACTGTGCTTTAAGGTTAAGCTAATTGGTAATTATAAAATTGAAACTCTTTTCTGCCAACTTAACATTTTAATATTTAGCATTATTTGTCATATCCAGAACCTGGAAACAACATAAATGCCCCTCAACCCGGAGAATGGATAAGGAAAATGTGATACATTCACACAATGGAGTACTACACAGCACAGAAAAATAATGACATCTTGAAATTTGCAGGCAAATGGATGGAGCTAGAAAACATATTGAATGAGGTAACCCAGACCCAGAAAGGCAATTATCATATGTACTCACTCAGAAGTGGCTTTTAAACATAAAGCAAAGAAAACCAGCCTACAAATCACAATCCCAGACAACAATGAGGATCCTAAGAGAGACATACATAGATCTAATCTACATGGGAAGTAGAAAAAAACAAGAGCTCCTGAGTAAATTGGGAGCATGAGAGAACTGAATGGGAGGGGAGAGGAAGGGAGGGGAACAGAGAAAAATGCGTAGCTCAATAAAATAAATTAAAAAGCATTTTAATGTTTAAGATTATAATTTAGATTTTTATTCCAATAATAATTAGGTTATATAGTTTCCTATCTTTCAGTATCCTGCTAAAATAAATTATATAAATACGTACATAAACCTGCCATATACATTCACCTAACAATCATTATTTTGGCTGTGAGTAAATGACTTTATTTCTCCACTTCTGATTTTATGACACTAATTTTACAGGTGACCATAATCTGAATTTTTTTTAAAAATAATTTAAAAAACAATACAAAAATAAATAACTAAATAGAGAAAAGAAACAATTTTTTTAAAAAAATATATGAGGTGAAAATTTTTAGTTATTAATTTGACTCTGGTCTCTTTGGGAAGTAAAAGAAGCAATAAACACAACCAGTCACACAGTCTTCACAATATATGAGAAAAAAAACACAGCTCCTGCTATGGTTTGATTTAAATGAGGAGTGGGTGTGAGTGTTCCATTTGCATTTCAAGAAGTACTTCTTGGGAAATTTCCAAGCTTTCTAAACTGCACAGCATCTTAAAGATAAAGTAGTAGGCTATGTGTTGACTAACTACAAATGCACACACACACACACACACACATATATAAAATCAACATTGTATGTATGTCAACTAATATCTAATAACAACTCTATAAAGAATCAAGCAGTTTGTGTAAACTAGGAATCCTTCCAATAGAGTATTTGCAGATAAAGTCAAATGTAGCACCAAAGCATGTTAAAGGTGATTTTGTCAGGAGTTGTACAATGTCAATCACAACTTGGCTTCTATTCTGGAAACAGATCATAGTCCCTGAAAGTATAGGTGACTCTCATTACTTCAGAAAGCCATTAATGAGTTTCATTTCTTTTGTTGTGCAAGGACATGAAGGGCACATGTTCACTGCAGTTGCGTTAATTTACCAGTTCTTTTGCAAAAAAAAAAAGAATAAAACACAAGTAGTATATTAATTTCTATAGAAGTATAACTCTGTAAAAGTTTTGCACTGCTTTACAATAACAAATCTTCTCAAGGACAGATAACAAATCTAATTTATTTTGGATCCCAGCAAAGAAAGTGGAACAGAATGGATTTCTAATCACACGCTCCTGAACGGGCCACTTTTTAGACTTCTGAGAGCATCTTCTTCCAGCTAGCTTGAAAAGATCAAGGTCATGTGCCAACTAACACCAAAGAACTTAATTTGCAATTAAAGCTTTCCTTTGGCATCAGTTCGAAAACATCAACTGGAAGGATTGTATTAAATGATGTATGATTTTTTAAAAATAGAAAACCAGGGAGTTGAAGAGATGGCTTAGCAGCCAAGAGTATTTTTTCCCTGCGTAGGACCTGGGCTTGATTTCAGCACCCACATGACAGTTTACAACCACCCATAATTCCAACTCCAGGGGATCCGATGCCCTCTTTCAACCTCTGTGGGCCCCAGGCATGCATGATGCAAATTCATACATGTTGGCAGAACACTCATACACATAAAATAAGTCTTTTTTTTTTTTTTTTAAAAAAAAAAGGCAGACAATCCCCCAGAGCAACCTTCAAAACCTATGCATGGACTTGTGACATCAACGGTCAAACAAAAACACTCTCCTGGTCTTCTATACAGAGTGAGAATTAAATGTGTAACATCCAAGTGCTTTTAAAGATTTATTTTTATTTATTTATGTGGTCTCTCTCTCTCTCTCTCCCTCTCTCGATGTGTGTATGTGTGTGTGTGTGTGTGCGTGCGTGTGTGTGTGTGTGTGTGTGTGCGCGCGCGCGCTTGTGCGCGTGCCACCTGCATGTGGGTGACTACAGAGGCAAAACTAAGATATCAGAGTCCCTGGAGCTGGAGTTACAGGTGGTTGTTAGAGCTGCAGTACACACTTTAGCTGATGAATCATCTCCTTAACCCTAGCATACTGGTATTTAACATAGGGCTTCATGGGCATTTACCCTAGAACTATATTTAAAGTCGTAAAATAAGAATTAAAAAATCTCTAGCTATGATAATCATTACTGAAATGAAGTTTGACTCTAAATCAGATTCATGTCACTTGGCTCTGACCCTTTAAGCCAGGCTTTTAAAAGAAATGATTGTGTTTAAGAGCCCCTGAGAACACTGAGGAAATACAGAGTGGGCTGGCAGGATGGTTTAGTGCTTAAAGGTACTTGCTCCCAAACCTTACTACCTAAGTGCAATCTCCAGGACTCACATCATAGAGAAGAGAACTGACTCCTCCAAGTTGTCTGCTGACCTCTAAATATGTACCATAGGACATTTGTCCCCACTACACACACACACAAGAGGAGGGATGTCAAACATAGCCTGGGTTCATATGCCACAAAAATTAGAATAAGATTAATTAACTTCACAAATATTTTATTAATGGTCTACAAACAAAATGATACAAGAATAATTTCTCGGCTTATTTAAATAGGTTAGTTTTTTTTTTTACAATAACTTCTTCTTTAAGATTTATTTTTATTTTTAATTCTGTGTAATATGCACTCATGTATATCATGTGTGTACTTATGTACATGTATATAAAGGAATTCTGATTCCCTGAAACTGGGGTTACAGTTGACTGTGAACTGTCATGTGCATGTTGGGAACCAAACTGGGGTCCTCTGGAAGAGCAGTGTCTTAGGAAGTTTTCTTTTGCTGTGATAAAACACCATGACCAAGGCAAGGCACAAAGAAAAGAATTCCTGTTGGGCTTCTAGTTCCAGAGGGTTAGAGTCCATGGCCATCATGGCAGGCGCATGGCAATGGGCAGGTGGGCATGGCAGCACTGGAGAAGTTACTGAGAACTCACATCTTTTAAAACACAACTTTCTTCTTATTCATTCTTGGTGTCTTTCACATCGTGCATCTCCATTCCATTCATTTCCCCATCCCTTTGCATTTTCCCTCTGCTCTTGCACCCCCCAAAATAAAATAAAATAAAATTTAAGAGAAAAATAAAGAAGGAAAGGAAAAAACAAAAAGAAAAAATTAATCTCATCATGGAAGCTGTAGTGTGACACAGTGAGACATGCAATGAAGCCTTTTATCCATATATCTTTCCTTGCAAGTGTTCACTGCAAAGAGTCATTGGTCTGGTTCAAGGCCTCGGGTGTCTGCTACACTATCAATGCTGGGCTCTCACTGGGACTCCTCTTGCTTATCCTGGTGTTGTCCTATGTCATGGCGATCCTGCAGCTTTGGGTCTGTAGGACCTGCCCTTTATGTGCTTCAACAGATTGCAGATTGGGTGGATGTTGGAGTGGGCCAAGTCACAATCCTGACTCTGTGCCTGGGTAGTTGTAGAGTTAGTCAGACAGCCAGAGAGCTCAAATCTTGATCCACAAGTATGAGACCAAAAGATAGAGACACTGGGAATTGAAAGAGTATTTTGAAATCTCAAAGCTAACCCTCAGTGACACAACCCCTCCTACAAGGCCACCTCATTATCCTTCCCAAAACAGTTAGAGCAACTGAAGGCCATGTATTCAAATACATGAGCCTATGGGGAACATTCTCATTCAAGCCATCACAACCAGCAAGGGCTCTTGATCACTGAGTTATCTTTCCAGCCAGTAAAATAATCTTGCTGTGAGATAATGTTCTTGTAAACGGTAGAGATTCGTCATTCATATTGGTTTAATAAAGCACTAGTTGGCCAGTAGCCAGGCAGGAAGTATTGGCAGGGCAATCAGACTAAGAATTCTGAAAAGAGGAAAGGCAGAGAGTCAGTCATTAGCCAGATACAGAGGAAGCAAGATGAGAATGCCTTACTGAGAGAAGTACCAAGCCACGTGGATAAACATAGATAAGAATTATGAGTTAATTTAAGTTGTAAAAGCTAGTTAATAATAAATCTGAGCCAATAGGCCAAACAGTTTATAATTAATATATGCCTCTGTACATTTATTTGGGACTGAATGGCTGTGGTACCAGGCAGGACAGAAACTTCCACCTACATAATCTTAAAATATAGGTCAGAGAAAATTACTTCACTGTTTAGACTCTATAAGGAAGTGCATTGCTAGAATGCAATACTTCTAGTACCTGGATAGTTGAAGTATGGTTTTAAGACTAGAAGCTTCTACCTTCAGTTCAAATAGATGTTAGAAATGAAGAATCTGGGATATAACCTTACACCTACTGAATTAGCGTCTTCTGATTCTTACAAATGTGAAATCCATAGCTACATTAAAATTTAAGCAACTATTTTAGTTCAGAGTATTAAGAAAGGATGCAGCCCTTAACACATTTGAAAAAGTCAGTACAGCTATGAGCACGCCGCCGGAAGAAGATACCTCTGTTCTTTCATGCCAGGCAATTAGGTCAGCTACTCCTTAAGATGTTGTAATCGCTTTACATTTAAAGGGGGAACAACTTTTTAAAAGATGGCCTTCTGTGAGCTCCCAATATGCTTTGTGCAACTTTTAAAAAACAGAAGATATCTTTATTATCTATTTGAGAATTTTATATAATATATTATCATATTCATTTCCCTTACCAACTCCTTCTAGGCTCACCACCTATAATGTCCTCACTTACTCTCAACTCCTTTAAAAAGATCCACTGAGTCCAATTTGTGCTGACCTCATACTCCCCCACCTAGATATGAGGCTAACTACAGAAATTTGATCAACCTACCAGGAACCACACCCTTGAAAAGTGTCTCCCCTCACAGAAGCTATCAAATGTTAATAACTCATCTATTAGGGGTGGATGCTCAGGATCCCCTCCCCAACACCGTGTTAGAATGGACTGGCTTGGTCTTGTGCAGGTCTTGTGTGACTGCTGTGAGCTCATGAGTAGGCAGAGAGTTGTTTTGTCCAGGAAACACTGTTTTGCTCGGGTCCACCCTCTGCTTCTTTTCTTTTCTTTTTTCAAGACGGGGTTTCTCTGTGTAACAGCCCTGACTGTTCTGGAACTAGCTCTTGTAGACCAGGCTGTCCTCAGACTCACAGAGATCCACCTGCCTCTGTCTCCCAAGTGCTGGAATTAAAGGCGCACACCACCACAGTTCTTAGAATCTTTCCTTTCTTCTTGCTCAATGGTCTACAAGCTTTGAAGGGGGTGATGCAGATTTTCCACTTGTGGCTGGGCATTCCACTGACACTTATTTTCTGTGCAACTTTTTTGTAAGATCATTAAATTTCTTAAGTAATAATACTCAAGGTGGCCATAAAATTTGTCTTCATTACTAAATCTGGTCACACTCACACTATGTATTCTCGGCTAAATAACAACAACAGAAATAATAGTGTCCAAATTCCATATCTACGTGCCCCATAAATGTTAACAATTCAATAGTTCATAAGAGGAGTAATTACGCTTATAGGGAATCCACAGGTGCTTGCCAAGGGTAGGTTCTGGGAATAGAGTCAAAGGACAGTCACAGTTCAGAAATATTAAAACTGAGTGTGGAGAAACCTCGAGGAGGGATGAGATGGGAAGTATCTGTTGCTTTGATGTGTTCTGCTTTGCTTTCGGTTCTGTCTGTTTGCAATGTGTATGTTCAACGCTTTAGAAAACCAAGCTCGCTCTACCTGAAAGGTTCTGTCACAGTTAGTTAGGCGTCTTCTCGCAGGAGGGAGGGCCGCCTCAGCGTTCAGCACTGCGGACAGCTCCAGGCGTCTGCGGGAAGGGGTGGGGTGGGGCTTAGGAGGAAAGGGGCGTGGGTTGTGCATACGAACGCTAAATGACAAAGTGACGCATCAGTTTTCGGTTAAACCAGCACACCTTTCACTCGTTTTTCCCCCTTTGTCTGATCAAAGGAAATATAAAAACCGTAGCGCCTTCTAACAACTCGAGACCGCTGTTTCTACGCACAGCGAGATGCCTTCGGCACAGCTGGGGACATAGCAGAGGCAAGGATTTTCTCAACGAATTAATTAAACCCTCACTACTCTAGGAAGCACAAATAGTGACGAACCCTGATTGCTAAGCTTCAGGGTGCGATGTGCATGAAAATGAGCCCTTGTCTCCGCTCTTTCTAAGACCTGAAGAACAGACCCTGTTGCTGTTGTTTGAGTCCCTTCCCCATCTCATCATCCTTTGCTCGCACATCCAACTGCGTGCAAATATTTACACATTGCCACACCAGAGAAATGCACCCATGCACACACAGTTTCCTGCAAACACTCTCGCGCACGTCCTTCCGCGGCTGCCTGTGTCCTGTCTCTCACCCAGACACAGACATTTATACACGTAGGCCAGAAAAGCGCAACCCACGGTCCTGTGACTCCCTCCACGCAGGTCCTCGGAACACGCCGTTTACATTGAACCGATCTGCGAGCACAGACAAACCTACCAACAAGTCTACTGGCTGGAATTCATCTCCATGGCAACAAACATGGAAGGTGAGCCCATCCACCCCGGCTGCCTGTGAAGTAACTTTCTCCCCCCTCCTCAGCATTCACCAACAGGGTTTCAGCGCCAGTCCTGAGGAGAATGTGTCCTTATTCTCTTGGATTTCAGAAACAAGAGAGCCGGGTGGGGGGCAGGGAAAGTCTGTAGGTTTGGGTGAGCTCAAATTCTGAAAAGGAAAGAATGCCTCTGCAGCTGCTGGTGCTGTCAAAAAAGAAAAAAAAAAAAAAAAGGAAAAAATGTGTTGTGTATATACAGATTGCTGATGTTTCTCCCACGATGTCTTGTAGGAAGTTTCCATGCTTCCTGCAGCTTAATATGTGGAAGACAACCGGAGTCAACGTAAGGTAGAATAATAACGATGGTCTAGGCGTCTTTGGTGAGACATGTTGAGAATTTCCAGATCAAGCTTACCAGTGCTTTGGAAGGAATGGTTGTCTGAGGAGCCACCCAAATATTCTCTTAAGGAAAACCTCCCAAGGTTGATGTCTACGGGGCTTGGGGGGTAGATTCTTGAAGATTCCAAGGTTCTGGAGCTCTAGGAAACCAGCATGCATGTACTTCAGCATGATGAAGACATCTGGGTTTGTAATTTAAGGATTTCCTTTTGATTCCAACACATCCATTCCTAAACGATACCTCTGTGAAGATATGGCCTCAATAATGCTTTCTGCTGTTCCTTAATTTAATAGAATTTAACTACCCTTGTATTTAATGTAGAGTCTGTTGTTTATGCACAGAAGGGCTCATTATTTTTTAAGCTTGAGTTTGCATGTCTCATTTCAAGAAATGACAAGTATCTTCTCACTAAAGACTGTTGTCTAGTGGCTAGCACTAAAATACTTTTTACCTAGAATATCATATTGCACCCCAATTGTAACTATGTCATATTTGATGTTTGTGGTGTTAATACTAGGTAAATAAGCATGAGGGGAAAACCTGTTGATTAAAATAAAGATATAGGATGCTCTTGTGGATTTTTAGGCGGTACCTACATTTTACCACTGGCTTCTGCTATTGCATGTTATTGTGTGCAAGTTGAATAACTGTTTGCAAAAAGCAAATTTGATAGCTCCTAATCAGTAAATAGTTCACAGAGGAAAAAAAGCATTGCCTACCGCATTCATTGATGGACATGAAAGGCTACATGCATAAGCAGGTATGAAACGGCTCTCCTGGTGGGTTACTCACAGTGACATTATTGCAATAACTGAACCCAGGGGTTTTATTGCCGTTGTCGTCATCGTCAGTTTAACTACAAAGCAGCTCCATGACATTGGGCCTTTGATATCTACAGGTACTGCCGTGGCCCAATGCTATGACTCATCAGGACTTACAGAGCAAGCATGACATTTGCCATGAGAGAAAAGAGACGCTTCGAATCTGGCTGCTCACTGCTAAAGTATCTAATCATTAATCCAATGGCTGGAGTTCTGAGCAGTATTCTATTAGTAGTAGAAGTAGTATAAAAACACACTTTAATCCTTCAGCCATTATATGGAGGGATTCTGATATTTAAACTGAGTGGTGTTCGTGGTGTTGTCCATTTTTGTGGTATATCATATTTAAGTAAATTTTACCTTGATTAAAATTCCTTTGAAAAATTCACTTCTTTTCACAGTTACATTTTTCACAAGGGCTTCTTATCAATTTGTCGTTTTGTTCCTTTGTAATTCATTTCTCTCATGTTTCTCCCATTTTCTATTTCTCAGAGAACCTATTTCTCAGGTATTAAAATATTATTTTCCTTTTGAGGTAAGCCTCATAAGATCTGACAGAACTAAATGAGTCTTTACTTTTCTCTCTCTCTCAGTTGTGGAAAATGAAAATTTGTCTTTACTCCCTAGGTGAACATGATTTTGAGACCTTTTTCACCAGGAAGTAGTCAGGGCTGTAACTGAAGACCTCTGTTTGTTTATGATATGGTTATGACCAATATTTTCTAGAATGTACTCCACACCAATGGAAAGGCACATAGTTCAGAAAACTTGGTGATATGTTCTCAAAAACTTCAGACTTAGTTGGTATTGAAATGAGACAATGTACTCATTTTATATGTCAAATAATATAGGAAAGTTTGGGAAATTATTTGGAAAAGCTAGGTCTCAAATACCAGTGTTTTTGATGCTCAGTGCATCATGTCTTGAATAAGAAGGCTAATGTTCTTCTGATTTTGTATTTATCCGCCTACTTATACAGAGCTGCATCAATAAGCAAGCTTCTCGGGTCTTTGTCTATCTCCTTTTCAATTATGCTCCTATATGGCACTTTGTTTAAAGATGAACATTAAAATCTAAGTTTTTCCTTTTAAGATATTAACAAAAGCCATCTTTTATGAATTCAATTTTTATTTAAAACGTAATCTACAGTTTTTCAAGCATTAAATAGATTGACTAAGATTTACTTTGAAAAATCAGATATCTGGTTAAGTCCTTCTTATTGAGAACAATTCATATTTGAATGCATTATCCTTCTGCACCTTTAATTTTCACAGAAGTAAAACTTGTTTTGTCAAATTTTATCACCATCCAATTCTATCTCCTTTTTAGTCATTATACCAAAATTCCCTTCAATTGATTAGCCTGCTAGAAATTTCTATAATGGTGAAATAATTCTGATACCAGGCCTTGCTTGTCCGTACTTAGTTTCCATCCCACAGAACTAGACAGTTTTTCATTGGTCCATCTGGAAACCTTGGCTTTCTTAGGTTTGTGTTCATTCCTACTATGGATTTATTCATGATCCTGATCACTCTTGTAAGTCCTCTGGGAGATCTTATTTTCTCTGGGCAAGAAGACCATGTATTGTAGATTATTGATAGTGAGTTTTTTCCTGTGTTCAAATCCTGTCTGGTAATAGCAAACAGTATCTTGCTGTACTTACAAAAGAATTTTCCTGATTCAGTCTAGAGCAAGTCTATCCTAGAAAACACTTTAGATGTCTGGACGTATCTACTGTCTTCTTTATTGTTCACTTTCAATAATGTCTCCTTCTCTTAACTTGAAGGCCGCAGATACTTCTATGTACTGTGATCGCTCATTCTTGCATTCATTCATCTACATCAGTTTTACTTGATAATCAAATCTAAAGTGTTCTTCCCACTAGGAACTTTCTGCTGCACAAAATTATCTGGGTTGACTCCTTACGTGAGAATCGTGAGTTGACAATGCCCAAATTTACATTTACTTTGTAAATATCTACTGATGCTTAATTTTTTGCTTAGGGAAAATGCTGTTTTGACATTTGTTCAAGCTTAATAGAGCTGAGCTACCATTGATGAACCTCCTTTCATGGCTCTCCACATTCCATCCTAGCTTTACGAAGAGCTTTCAAACCTACACTCTCTTCCTTATACTTATTCATACAGATCTTCGTTGCTGTGCACACGAAGCATCGTTTTCCATTTCTTCTGAATATGCAGAAGATAATAAAATTAACCCAATGTGGCTGCTGAGGAGATAAAGTATGTGTAAAGCACTACATAGGAGAAAGGCAGTGAATGTTGAACTTGATTGTCTCTCTTTTTCAATACCCAAGTAGAAGACTGAATTGTTTTTATTCTTCTTTGAACATGGCTCCTCTCTCTTGCTAGTTGGAAGCTCTTTAAGTAGAGAAGCCATATCTACTACCATGTGACAGTACTGCAGTAAATATTTTGAATACAAGTGTGATGACTATCAATGAAATCATTTGTGTTTGACTGAGCCATAATAATGGTATTGCCTTTCTAGACCTTTTGTTTCCATTCAAGTTAAGATTGTGTCTGCTTTTCAAAAAAACCACTTCATATCTTCAACTTATAGGGATTTTTGATGAATTTCAATTTGAATATTTACTTCATGCAAATTATCAAGCATCATCTCCCCAATTTTCAGTTAACACATTTCTCTCCTTCATTCTCAAATACAAGCCTTTTCTAAATATTTCTATTAGATATTATGTTCAGGTTCTGTCTCAGAACTTAAGTCATTATAATTCTTTTGAATCTCAACACTGGGAGCTACATATAATTTCAGCCAAGTTTTATGTTAAATTTAGTAGATCTTCAACCTAGTCATTGTTCTGAAGCATGTAAGAGTATGTAGGTAAGGCTAGACCTTTGTGATCCTACCCTGCAGACTGTCTTCATGACTGCAGAACCCTGTAATTATTAGGATCACTCAGTAACTGTAAATCTACATAAAACACCATAAGCCAGGCATATCTCACATATTCCTCACAAAGAGATTACAAGAGAAGGTCCATGAATTGCCAAAATCATTAAACCATGCTGTCCCCATGTCCCTAGCTCATCATATTAACAGCAAACTAGTAAAAATAAAGGTGGAGTTAGCTGTAGATATCTGAAGCTTTTCTCCAAGGCCCTTCTATTATGTCTTGACTCTTAGCTACAGCTACAGGGCTACTGGGAGACAGTGAAACCTTAGGAGGAGGTGTACCTTGTCAAGAGAAGTTAAGTCACTGTGGAGATGACCTTGAAAAGTACAGCGAGACCCTGGTCCTTCTCTCCCTCCAACTACCAAGTGAACAGCCCTCCTGTTCCACATTCTAGAACCAAAATCAGGCTCACATGACCACGGCTGAAATGGCCAAAGCAGAGGGCCAGAATGAACTTTGATGTTTGCCTACAATGGAAAGCTGAGTAGTGCAGCATTGCCTCTCGCCCGTGTTATCGGCAGTGCCAACTGTTACTTATCCAATGTCTTTTAGTCACACATCGCCAACACATAATTTCCTCTTCTGCTCTTTGAAAAGCAAAACATTTGTCTGTACTCACAACTCTGGTAACTTTCCCGTGGTCAGTCATATAGAGTATCTCCACGCTATAAAGACCAGAGGAGGTTAAGGAGTCTTGTGTTTGTCATTTATGACTTTAAAATAATTATGTCTTCCTCTCCCACAAAAGCATACTGTACAGTACGGCACATCGGTACCAAGTTCACCAAGCAAAATGCTGATATATGTTAGTTTCTATTTTTTTCAACAAAAAATTAAGAAAATATTCTATGTTGACTTAAACTCCTTTAACCCTTTAGACTTTCCAACACCACCCTAAAAGTTTTGGGTCACTTTCCAACATGTGTTCAAATAGCACTGCATTTCCTCTCATATTTGTAGTAATTGAGAGACCGAGTTCTACAAAGTAGGTTTGTTGTCATGGTAACCTTTTCATTTAACAAGCAATTGTCTATCCACACACCATACACAGCCCTACTCCATTCAGAAGATTTTGAAGCATTTCATAGCATCCTTCCTTATTAAGGCTGACAGCGAAGGATTAGATCAAGAAGATGTAGTACTACACCAGAAAATTTAAGCTAACTAAAAATAAATAAATAAATAAATAAATGAATAAATAAATAAGCAAACGGGGCTGGAGAAATGACTCAACGTTAAGAACACTAGTTGTTCTTCCAGAGGTCCTGAGTTCAATTCCCAGCAACCACATGGTGGCTTACAACCATCTCTAATAGGATCTAATGCCCTCTTCTGGCCTGCAGGGATCCATAAAGGAAGAATACTGTATATATAATAAATAAATCTTTAAAAAATAAAATAAAGTAAAAACAGAGAACAAATATAAAATTGGCACCTTGCTTTCTAGTACAGAACAATGTCTATATAAGATAATTAAGATATAGTTTCCTGAGAAAACAAAGGAAAATTCACAGAGTTACTAGGAAAAAAAATCCACATTCTCTCTCTCTCTCTCTCTCTCTCTCTCTCTCTCTCTCTGGACATTAAAACTCATGTCTTTTTGAGAAGGCCACATTACATCAATTTAACCAGAGAGAGCAGGAACACTGGCAGAGCTGTTGAATCCTGTTGCTTATCTTCATGGTCAGTTTTTGAAAGCAAATGGACATCCTCTTGTTCATGCCAACTACCAATAAACAAAACTTCAAGTTCTCTGAATATTGAAAGATTAGGTTAAAAAAAGAATTTTGTTCTTTCATGATTGTATCCACCAACATATTTAACTTATTACAGTTCAATACTTACTGAATAAAGATGATATGCCAGCTTAGAAAGTGGTTATTTTTTTCTATTAATTCATTATCTCACTTACGGTCCAAGAATCTAAGAACAAAGTGTTATATGGCATATGTTAGCTAAATTGTGTATGAAGGGCGGGGGCTTTGGTATCTCTGATGAGGAAGGCGTTTTGTTTTAATTTAGTAGAATTATGTGAGCTGTGTGTTTGATTGCTGTTTCTGAAAAATGTTTTTGGTTTTTTTGTTTTGTTTTGTTTTGTTGCTTTGCTTGTTTAGTTGGTTGGCAGGTTTTACTAAGAATAAAGTCACCAAGCGGTGGTGGCACATGCCTTTAACCCCAGCACTTGGGAGGCAGAGGCAAGCAGACGTCTGGGAGTTCGAGGCCAGCCTGGTCTACAAAAGCTAGTTCCAGGACAGGCTCCAAAGCTACAGAGAAACCTTGTCTCGAAAAACCACTATTGAATTAATTATTGGCCCAAGGGCAATGCAATTGGCTTCTTCTATGACCAGCTATGACGCCTCATATATGTTTACTCTATTATGTCTTTAAAATATGTAACTATATTTAGCTAATTTCATGACATCAATTTGCTTAGGCCATGTTTACATGACAGCAAAATGAACAAATCATTAAACCTACCCAGGTGTTTTAACATTTGTGAGGCTGTTTCAGCTACCAGACACGGAGAAAGAGCTTAGTGGCCTAAAGGTTTATTAAGAAAAGCCCTTGGGCTCCTAACCTAGAAATGGATGGAGAATGAAGTAGATATAGACAAAGCTGAGTTGTGAGCTGCACCCAAAACAACCTCAGCTGCTACCCTGTGGAACTCCAGAGCCAGACAACATCTTTAGCATCTTCCCCTTTGAGTCGAGATGGTCAGAGTCACACGGCTCACTCAGTGAACAGCATCCTTCCCCAGGGGAGCACACCCGTGGTAGGGCAGCTCTCTGCAGCTGAGGCAACCCATGCAAGGAAAGAATAACAACTGCTGGGAACGCTGCCAGCTGCTAGGCAACAAGTCCTGCGCTGTGGGCACACCACAGAGGCTGCAGTAAACCAATGTTATCGGCCCCTCTGCTTTCAGGGATTTAGTTTTGTCATCTTAACTTATGTGCACATGTGTGGATACATGCACATGAGTGATGCCGCCCTCAGAGACAGAGGTGCTGGATGTCTTGGGGCTGGAATTACCTGTGTTTATGAGTGGCTGCCTGACATGGGAGCTGAGAACTGAATTTTGACACTCTGCAAGAGTAGGACCCCTTCTTAACTGCTGAGTATTATTGGCTCCCCTACCCACACCCTCCTTTGCAAATATTAAATGTAGCTTACAAAGACCATGAACTTGACAGCATTTTACAAATTCCGAAACAGAAGGTATTGTTTGATCCTGTATCCTATGCCTCCTATGCCTTCTACAGGGTAAACAGCAAATGAGCTCGGCCTTTGGCAAGGTCATTCTGAGTTACTTACATAATCCTGTAAAGGTAATTTTTTAAACAGACAAAACGCACTTTTACTTACTATGACACGAAAAACAACTTGTAGAAAGAGTGTCCACAAAGGAACTTTAAAATGTTTTCCCCTTTTATTGAACAAAATGTCAAGCAACTAATGCCAGAAGTAGGGAGTGTGTCTGTCACTGGTAGTTTGAAGACTGAGCTCTTTTTAAAAACAAAAACAAAAACCAACAAAAAATAAAAAAAACCTAAACAAAAACAAAGACAACTTTCATAAAATCAGGGTTTCTAAGTTTGAAAGTTGTAAGCCTTATTACTCTCTCCTCACATCCCCACCTCTCCCTTGTTCTATCTCAGTGTGCTTTTTTAAAGTTTATCTTATTTTATATGTATGAGTATTTTGCACACCTATGTTTGTGCACCATGGGCATGCCTGATGCCATCAGAGGCCAGGAGAGGGAGTAAGATCCCCTGGAACTGGAGTTAGAGACATCCGTGAGCCACTATCTGTGTGCTGCGAATTAAACCTCCATCCTCTGCAAGAACAAGTGCTCTTAACCGCTGAGCCATCTCTCCAGCTCCCTCAGTTGCTTTCTGAAAATGGATAAGGAACTCCACTATATTTAAAGACAACTTCTTTAACATCTTAGCTGTAGTTTTAGGATATCAGTCATGGATAGGGGCACGAGAATGAGATTCTTGTTTAGAAGGACTAGGGAATTGTCTTAAAGTTAGCTGAGTTACAAAGAACACACAGCTTTAATTTGGATTTTATGTTTATTTAGGGAAGTGGTTCTCGACCTTCCTCAAGATGCAACTTCTTTGATACAGTTCTTCATGTTGTGGTGACTCCAACCATAAAATTATTTTCATTGCTACTCCATAATTGTAATTTTGATACTGTTATGAGTTATTGTAAATAGCTGATGTTTCTGATGATCTTGGGTGACTTCTGTTAAAAGACTTTCAACCCTCCAAGGGGTCTCGACCCACAGGTTGAGAACCACTGGCTCAGGGGTTCAGAAAACGAATGTACATGGTTGGGAAGTAGCTAAAGCACACAGATAATGTGCTTAATCTCTTCGTAGTTGTGATGTTGGGGATTGCTTCCACTCAGGTAATTTTCAAGACATAATTTTAAAATGTCACTTTAAGAAAGTGACATTTAAACTAGGTGTGGCAGCTCTTGCCTATAATCCCAGCATTCAGGAAAGCTGAGGCAGAGGGATGGCCATTAGTTCTGGGGAAGTCTGGACTATAGAGTGAGAATTTCTCTCTTGCACGCGCGCGTGCACACACACACACACACACACACACACGGAGGGGGTACATATAATAGAGAAGATACTGTAAGCATGCAGCTATGAAAACAAGAGTTGAAACAAAGAGTCTATTACACTGTTTAAAGGAGCAGGCTATGGGGACTCGAGAGATGGCTCAGAGGTTAAGAGCACTGACTGCTCTTCCAGAGGTCCTGAGTTCAATTCCCAGCAACTACATGGTGGCTCACAACCATCTGTAATGGGGTCTGGTGCCCTCTTCTGGCCAGCAAGCATACATACAGACAGAACTGTATACATACTAAATAAATAAATCTTTAAAAAAAATAAAAGAAAAAGAAAAGTATTTAAAAAAAAAAAAAGGATCAAGTTTTGTTTCAGACAAAATGGCCCTGGAGAGAGACCTTAAACACAAGGACCTTAAACCGCAGGAACAGCTTATGATCTCTACATGCAAAAATGCAGTGAAAATTCAGATCAAAGAAGCAGGGACCAGCGAGGCCAAGGCATTTAGTGTTAATCAGACGACTATCACTTGCATGTTTGCCTTGCTATTGCGTGTGCAGGCATGGATTTCTGGGTCCATAGGCAACTCTGCCCTACTACAGGGGAATAAGCATCTCCAGGGCCAATTCCATTCTGGTCTACACCTGATACCGTCAGACATCTTTGATGAGTTAAGAGACCTTGAACATACCTGCTTTTATAATGTCTTGCCCAACGCTGCACAAAGGAGGAAACTAAACTGGGTCCATTCTGTGTCTAGGCGGAGAACTGATTCCTGCAGGGACGCTGAAGAGCCCCCACAATGCCCCAGTGAAGGATGAGTAGCTCCTACTGCGGCAATTCTTCGGCGAAGATGAGTGTCAACGAGGTCTCTGCCTTCTCCCTGACCCTGGAGCAAAAGACTGGCTTTGCCTTTGTGGGCATCCTGTGCATTTTCTTGGGGCTTCTTATTATCAGATGCTTCAAAATCCTGTTAGACCCATATAGTAGCATGCCCTCTTCTACGTGGGAAGACGAAGTGGAAGAGTTTGATAAAGGGACCTTTGAGTATGCCCTTGCCTGATGGTGGCCTAAGCGTCATGCTTTTGCCAGTTGCCGTTGGGACACATGGTAGGCACGTTTGTAATCAGCTTGACCGTGCTGCTGTTGAGAGGGTCATTTCATTCACGAAATTCAATAAACATCTGTGATTGATCTTATCCACCATGCTGAGTAAAATCTGCTCCTCTTGGTCTCCCTCCGCGAAGGTTTCTATGCAGAGAGCAGTACTGTGGCTTCTGTCACCTCATTTCCTCCTCTACTATCTGTCCTTGCTGTCTGTTCCTTTCTGTACGCTACTGAGCTGGCCGCGGGCTTCAGCACAGCCAACCCTTGTAGCCTCTCCATGCTTCACACTGGGGCCACAGCATAGCTTTAGCGAACTCTGTGTTGTGTGATGTTGTTCTTAGGGAGACATGAACATATGTCTGCTCACCCCAGACAGAGAGCCAGTGATAGGCTGGGGTTACTTGCAGGAATTATGGGTGAAAGGTCACTTCCAGGAGCAGAAATGACTCAGCAACAGCTTTCTCACCAAAGGTCCACCTCAGCATGGGTGACAGCTCACAGAGCTAGAAACCCGGAGCTCAGGGCACAGCCTACACAGTTCCACAGGTAGGAGGGCTCCTCTTTAAGACAGCTCAGCTTGTCTGACAGTGCCTCTTGGCAGTTTTTACTGCTTCTGTAAGGTTGGGGAAGACAGGAGCTAGGGTATCTGGTCAGTTTCAGAGACTTTCTGAAGCCTTTGGTTGATTTATTCTCTAACTTAGCAAACTTCGCTGGAGGGAGGAATGTTTTCCCTCCCCTCAGAACATTCCATGTCTTAAGGAACTTCCCTCCAAGATGGGGCCTTATCTCAGAGGAAATTGCTATACCAAACTTGGGCTCAAAGGCCTTGGGCTCCAAAAGGAAAGACTATCATTTCTCAAACAGAGATCATAGGTCGGAAAGTTCACAGTGGGGCAAATTTAAAAAACCAACACCCAAACCTTCCAGCTCTGCAGACATCTGAAGGTTCTTAGAATGCATGCCCAGCATTCTTCTGAGGCTTGAAGCTCTTCCATAGTAAAATGCTGTAGTCTAGAGTGCCTGCCAGTCCTGCCTCACAGGGATACTGGCTACATCACCCTCCTTCATGAGAGAACTCCAACACTACCCAGTAGGAGGGGCGAGTGTACGGAAGCATGAACTCCGGTCAGCCAGCAGGCCCTTCCACCGCTATAGCCACGCCACCCTGAGACAGTTGTCTAATCTCTGTGGACTCCAAGGGAGAGACGACCAGAGGGATGGAATGGCCCTTTAAACTAACAGCCTAAAAACGCTGCACGTGTCCCTGGAAAGCCGGAGAGCCAAGGTGAGGCTTGACGATGCACGATTTTCTAGGTCAGAAGTCGGGGTTCTGATATTGGCTCACGCAACAACTAGCTTCATCTAGCTTTATAACCTAGAAAGTGATCTCAGGGCCGACAGCTTTCCACATCTGTGAAACCAGGATGAGAAATCCATCCTGTGTCACTAAGGGATGCTGGCAAGAGGACAGAGGTGTAAAGGATAGAAAAGCACTTGGGAAACCATGGAACATGTAAAATCACCATGTTCTCCATCTGTCTCCGTACTGCTCCGACCCAGCACTGAGTTACACATGCCTCTGCCACACCTGAGTTTTCCATGGGTGCTGGGGATCTGAATTCAGGTGCCTTTGCTTGCAAGGCAGGCAGTTTTCTCACTGAACCAACACCCTGGCCTCTATAACTTTTTTTAACCAAGACTGCCGCTCAGGTCTGTGGCATCCCAAAACAGCAGCCGCAGAGAGATTCCTGATAGAGATTTTTGTTGTTGTTTATATGTTTTCTCTCCTAGTGGATTTTTAAGACATATGTGTTGGTTGCGATTCTTCTTTCCCCTAGTTGGTACAAAAACACTTCACATCCTATTGGTAATCTGGCCCAAGAATAATTCAGAAAGTTGGGCTCAACTGACCTGGCTGAAAGGCTTCTGTGCCTGAACACCAGGCATCATCTTTGTGACGTGGGCTTCTGAATGACTCTCTAAGATTCATGGCCAACTTCATGCAGAGGTTCCGTTTGCTCCAGAGACATCATTCATTAAGACTTTCCATTTCACAAGATTAGATTTTTATTTCAAAAAAATAAAAGGAAGAAAGGAGGGAAAGAGAAAGGAAAGATAGTGAGAGAGGGAGGGAGGAAGAAAGGAAGGAAGAGAGGAAGGAAGAAAGGAAGGAAGGAAAGAAGGAATGAAAGAAGGAAGGAAAGAAGGAAGGCCAGACACATTCATAAAGAATGCACCATTTCAGGGCATCAGCTCCCAGCACACTCCCATTCCCGGTCTCACTAAGAAGAGAATGCACTGACAGAAAGTGCTTGATCTGTGGCTTTAATTTTTATTTTATTGGTACATCTTAGTCTTTTGTGAAGATGGGGGTAGGAGAATGGTCACCATCTGTATTTTCAGAGTGAGACGTGATAACTATAAATGAGCTGGTTAGAGTTGGGATAGAACATGGAAACTTCAAGAAATGATAATGTTCCTACAAATAGGCAGCCAATATCATACCCAAATCAGCCCCTAATGCCACACCCAAGAGCCTGTTAGGGAGAACAGGAGGAAAAGTAGCGTACTCCAGACAGCGTGTTCTGGTCCTTGACTCACCGCAAAGGCTTCAACTAAGCTCACATCCAAGGTCGACTTTATGGATGCTGTCACTTCATCCATACCCCCAAACATCCCACAGCCACTCTAGGACAAGGGCCATCGTTTCCAGGTCAGAGATAACCGCCTCGAATGAAAATGTCTACTTGATAGAAGACTGAGACTGAAACTAATTCATCCACACTGAAGTCAGACAAACATGCAGCAGGAAGCAGAGACTGACTTCAGAGGCACTCGGCCTCTGGTGGAGGAAAAAAGACTAAAGAATGAATAAGGCAAGGGAATCCCGAAGGCGCGTGAGGGCTGGGTAGTGTCAATCATCCTGGTACAGGGAATGGAACTTGCTTGGGGTCCCGGCATCATCTTAGCAGTGTTTAGCTATTAAGTCAGTAGCCTCTCCCCTCCCCCCAACTGAACCTGACGTCCGACAACTTCCTAAGCTGAATCTTTCTTCTACATGAGAGGTGAAATCCTCACTCGGTGAATAATTCTCCTCTATTAGAGTGGTCTTTATGAAGATGAAGGCTGACAAATGCTCAGGGGGTAAAGGCACCTGCTGCTAGGCCGAATATGTGATTTTGAACCCTGGGACAAATGTAGCAGAAGAAGAGAACCGACTCCCTGAAGTTGTCCTCTGCTCTCCATACATACCACATGTATGTGAGCACATGCACTCACCCACCCACACAGAAACAAACAATTGTAAAAACAGGAAAAGAGAAAGAAGATTGGGTACGACATTAGCTTGACTGAGTGCCGTGGCGTTTACCTGGCTAAGAGCTTTGAAGATGTTTTCCTTTGGCATTTGCATGTCCCTTTGTACAATACTGTGTCTGGTTACCAACTTATCCTTTGCTTTATTTTAATAAGTAGATTCCCATCCCTGTCTTTAATGGTTGGTCTCAGAATCAGGGGTGGGAGTAGAAAAGAGTCACAACCCGATAATAAATATTGATAAAATAGTACAAACATGAACTATGTACAAACTGGTGCTGTTTCAACATAAACACGAATTCGCTCATTTAATCCCCACAATAACTCAGCAAGCTACAGGCCATTACTGTCTGCATCCATGTTTGCATGTGAGAACATTAAAGCGCACACACAGTGAATGAGTCTCCTGAATTCATCCAGACAGGAAGTAACAGGGACCAGAACTGAAATCAAGCATTCTTCAATCACTGCTCACACTTAACCACTACGTCACACCACAGCGAAGCCACCCAGCCAACTGGAAATCACCTGGATAGTTTCTTGTTAGACACAGAGGACTCATTCGATCATCCTGATTGTAAACCAGTGACAGAACCTGCACAGAACTGTGTGTGCTGTCTTGATCACCAGCTCTCATTTTGGAGCAGAAACTTCTTTTGAGAAAACTCAAAAATTATATGTGATAAAAAAAAAAAACCTGACCCTCCATGCAGAGACAGAAAAGTCATACCACTAGGAAGTGTACCCAGTCACCAGGAAATGTACTCAGCCCCTGGGAAGTGTATGCAGCCACCAGGAAGTGTACCCAGCACTGGGAAGTGTATGTAGTCACCAGGAAGTGTACCCAGCACTGGGAAGTGTACCCAGCACTAGAAAGTGTGCCCAGCCACTGGGAAGTGTACCCAGCACCTAGGAAGTTGACCAACCACTGAGAAGTGTACCCAGCCACCGAGAAGTATACACAGCTACTAGGAAGTATACCTAACCACTGAGAAGTGTGTCCAGTCCCTGTAAAGTGTACCCAGCCCCTGGGAAGTGTGTCCAGCCCCTGGAAAGTGTACCCAGCCCCTGGGAAGTGTGTCCAGCCCCTGGGAAGTGTGTCCAGCCCCTGGGAAGTGTACCCAGCCCCTGGGAAGTGTGTCCAGCCCCTGGGAAGTGTGCCTAGCCCCTGGGAAGTGTGTCCAGCCCCTGGAAAGTGTGTCCAGCCCCTGGGAAATGTGTCCAGCCCCTGGGAAGTGTGTCCAGCCCCTGGGAAGTGTGTTCAGCCCCTGGGAAATGTGTCCAGCCCCTGGGAAGTGTGTCTAGCCCCTGGGAAGTGTGTCCAGACACTGGGAAGTGTGCCCAGCCCCTGGGAAGTGTGTTCAGACACTGGGAAGTGTGCCCAGCCCCTGGGAAGTGTGTCCAGACACTGGGAAGCATAGCCCCTTCCACCTGAGCAGCTTAAAGTAGTTTTCCCACTAGGTAGAAATCTTTTCAATAACTAACTGACGCTAGTCTCAAACCGTTCACTGCCTATGCAGAGAAGAGACGAGGTGAGCACGCTAAAATGATTTAATTAACATTTTCTAGCTACAATGCATTGAGGCCATCTCTTGAAGATAATATTTTGGCTCCTATGCTAAGCAATGAAAGGTCACCAGGTCTCATCAAAAACAAGATAATGAGCTAGGCCTGGTGGCAAAGGCCTGCTTCCAGCTACTTGGGAAGCTGAGGCAAGAGGAGGGCAAGTTCAAGGATGCCTGGAGTACAGAGTGAACTTTGGGCCAGCTTAGACAATTAGCAAGAACCTGTCTCAAAATAAACATCTAGAAATGGGGTGGGAGGCTCAGTGGTAGAGTGCTTACTTAGCATATGTGAAGTCCTGCGTTCAATTCTTATGGCAAGAAAGAGAGATAGAGACAGAGACAAACAGAGATAGAGAGACAGAGATAGAGAGACAGAGACAGACAGGGATAGAGAGACAAAGAGACAGAGACAGACAGAGATAGAGACAGAGACAGACAGAGTTAGAGAGACAGAGACAGACAGAGACAGACAGAGATAGAGACAGAGACAGAGAAAGAGACAGAGACAGACAAAAATAAAGAGACAGAGACCAACAGAGATAGAGGCAGAGACAGAGAAAGGGACAGAGACACAGACACAGACAGAGAAAGAAAGGCAGACCGTGGGACTAAATTCATCTAGTACCAAACAACTGAAGCAATATTTTTGAAGGATTTGCTGTTGAGCAATCTGTGAATTAGAGAAGCTTTATTTTGTTTACTGTCTAAAAGGATTAATGATTTACTACTGGTTACTAGTTGATGTGGTACTCATGGTTCCCCAGGGCTAGTGACTGGCAGGGCTTCTCCCAGCACTCCAGGCCAATGACTGAAAAGTCATCTCTTTCAAGAAGTTTTTAGCCAATGAGGAGAAGCCTGAGGTTGTGGGCTGAAAGCTAAGGCTCCATATATTCTCGTATGCCATGCTGAAGTGGCCTGCACTCCTCGGAAGGCGGCTGCCGGATGGGAAGGTAAGGGTGTGGGCTGGGCACGATCTTCCCCTCATAACATGGCAAAAAGTGGACCCTGAGGACTGGGCTGGAGATGTCAGAGACCGTGAAGTGTTAAATCGTCTACAAAGCTAAGGAATATGGGTTCACTGGTCATCTCACCAGGAAAGGTTATTTCCTGAGTTTAAGTTATATGTGGGTGGGTTTTGTTTTGTTTTTTTTTTTAATTCAGAGAAATGTCTTAAAGCATTGCTTGAGAGTTTTTGTTTATATCGTTCTCGGTTTTTTCTAGCTTTCTTTGAAAAAAAAATCAAAATTTAAGGTATCTACAAATAAATATCACTCCAAAGACAGTATTTAACTTTGGTGCATCACTGTAGAATTATGGAAATTATTGCGTGGCCTATTGAATTCACAAAATATTTCATTAAAAGGAGCGAGTAGAATGTAAGCCATTAGTGAGAGCTCTAATTTATTTTCATATCCCAAACACTCATTTTTAAGGTTTCCTTAATGGCATTTATAAAAAGCACAAATACGCAAGCAAGCGAAGTGCTTCAAAGGCTACTAAAAATTCTGAAATTTCACAATCATCTTTGCAGGCTTCATTTTTTAAAATTTTCATTCTCAAATGTAACTTTTTAACTTGTTACCCATGTGAAGGTCTTTCTGAGACAAATTTATCATTGATGATGTATGGATTTTTGTAATAAACAAAGTACACTTGTCAACATTTTCAGGTTTCCTGTTTCATGTATCAACTAGTGTATAATGCTATCAAGGTAAAATACTTTGCAGTCTCAGCATTTAGCCAGTCTGTAAAGGCTCCTACTATCCTCGATTGCTAGCTAGTATGCCTTCTAAAAGTCCCAGTGACTTTCAAGCAAACATGACAAACAGTCACATGCTAGTGACTTCATCGGAAGTTCTGTTTGCAGAAACCAGGCTCTGGTTATTTGTTAGGATTTCGTTGCTCAGATAGCAAGGATCCCTGAATAGGTCATTTTTAGTGAAACAAATTTAAAGTTGTGTATCTTATGAAAGTTAAGTGCACCTTAAACCACAGCCCTTCTTAAATAGGTTTGCATGCATCGCCTGGAACAAATTGAATTTTCTTTCTTAATAACAGCACTGAAGATCATTCTGAAGATTAAATGGGAGACAATACACCAATGATACAGCAGGAATCTAATTATCGAGTCATCTAGGGCCAAAGCTGAGCCCTCCGTACTGTAAACACATTCTTGCCTGTTTTGAAGCAGAAATACATAGAGTTTAAAAAGTACCTAAAATAGGTAGTTCCAAAGTAGATTTTAGGAGATGTCAGTGAACACCCCTTCCAGCTCAGTGCCCGGTGGTGCCAGCCGTTTTCAAGTCCATGTCGTAAACGAGGGCCGTGGCAGCGGCGCAGCCATGAGCGATAGCACGGACCCCCCACATTACGAAGAGACCTCTTTCGGAGACGAAGCCCAAAACAGACTGCGAATCAGCTTTCGGCCTGGCAATCAGGAGTGCTACGACAATTTCATCCAAAATGGAGACGCTGCTAAAACAGACAGCACTTTTCACGCCTACGACTCTCACACGAACACCTACTACCTACAAACCTTTGGCCACAACACCGTGGACGCCGTCCCCAAGATTGAGTACTACCGCAACACGGGCAGCGTGAGCGGGCCCAAGGTCAATCGGCCCAGCCTTCTGGAGATCCACGAGCAGCTGGCCAAGGTAAGCGTGAAGGGCATGGTAAGTGCCCTTCCCCAGCATCCCTCGAGGTAAGAACACTGTACACACGGTGCTCCAATGAAGAGGGCTGGTCCGTGCCAGCCGTCTTCCTTACACAGCTGTCTTACGTAGCTTCCTTACACAGAAACAGAAAAGGTCCAGGTGCTTCACAAATGGTTGCTGACTTGGGAGAGAAGTGCAGACTGAACTCTGAAAGTGAGGCAATGTTTCCTGTGGTGTGTGTGTAATAAGGTTCCTCAAGTCCCAAACGACTGAACATGCCGCCCTGAATTCTAAAGCGCTTCTACCTTAGTGCTAACAACTCCATGGTCGTTCTTAAACAAACCGCTGTGCTTTCTTCGTTCATTCGTGTCAACCACCCTGTGGTGCAGAGGTGAAGCGGCCTCGGACTCGTCTACCCTGGTAGCGGAGGCTGAGTGACGACTACTTTTCCTATTCTTTAAGGAAAGAGCAGAAATACATAAGATTCAGCCTTGTGTTTCTCTTCTTCATACCTTTGCCGGATGCTCTCGGCTCTTCTCGATTTAAGCTCAGAAACACAGTGGCCAGACTTCCTATTTAAAGAATGCACAAGGGGTTCAAAGTCCCTGGAAGACTCTAATGCTGTGTACATCATTTAGAAGGTTAAATTTCTTCTGTGACTTCCTCCGAGATTGTTGACAGACTATCCTCCTGCTTTTCTGGCAGTTTGTAATGAACGTCACTGGTTTCTGGTGTTTGGTTTGGTTTGGTTTGCGTGGCACTTTGATGTGTGCCTGTTTGCATGGGTGCCTGTTTGCATGTGCTTGCACCGAGGATTTCTCCTCCTTGTGTATTGAGCAGGATCTCTCACTTGAACCCAGAGCTTGACGATCCAGGTAGCTTAGCTAGCTTTCTCCTTAGATCTCCTGCCTAGATAGCTTCCTCTGGAGATTTCCTACCTCCACTTCCTCGGTGCTGAAATTACAGGTAGGACAGACACCATCCCAGGCCATTTACATGAGCACGGAGATTCAAACTCAGGCCCTCATACTTCCCAGCAAGTGCCTTACCCGCTGAGCCATCTCCCCACCCCTGAATATCACTTTGTGGAATATGGTTACAATCTAGGAGGAGAATTGGATACTATATATTCTAATATAATTTATTTACTCATGCCCAAGCTTCCAGGAAAACAGAGCATGAACAGTTTATTCCCTAATCATTCATTTATTCATTCTGGTTCTTAAATGTGAAACAGGCTAGGCATGGTGGTTCAGACCACCTCAGCACTCTGGAGACAGTTCGTAGTCAGCCTGGCCTACAGAGTGAGATTCTGGACAACCAGGGCTGCACAGAAAAAACTTGGTCTTGAAAGAAAGGAAGGAAGGAAAGAAGGAAAGGGGGAACAGTTATAGTCTCCAATCATCCCTACCCCCCACTCAGGATGAGTTCTGTCAGGATGATTCTAGAAAAGGCACTGGCTTTTCTTTACTTTCTTCTCACCTCCTTCCCAGAGAAAAGACATCTCCAAAATTTACTCTCTAGGCTGTTAGGGGCCCAACTCCATTCTAGGACTTCCAGAGGGAGAGTCCATGTCCCCACTCTGTTCTGTTCTACCCCACTCCCCACAGGCCTCCTCCCCTGTCCTCTCTGCTGTATCTGTGACGATCTGCCAACTTTAGGCTTTCTCTGAGCTACCTGCTGTAATAATAATAATAATAGCATTGTGGTTATTGAGACACATTATCAGTTTCCATGGAGATTTTTCTAAGGAAGGTTATTTGATATTTTAGGTAAGCTGCTTGTCAGTTTCTTTCTCTAAATGAGGGGGTAGGGGAGAATGGCTGGGGACAGGAAATGGGGAGAGAAAAGAAACAGCAGACCAACAGGAGGGCATGGTGATCCCAAGTTGTGGAAGGAGCAGAAAGAGGAGTTAAACAATGCATGGAGGGAGCTTCCAATTGTCTGAAGTAAAAAGAACCAAAACTGTCCAGAAAAAGACATAAAATTCTACCCCACCAAGTCCTGTACGCTACACATAACTTGTAAAGCTGCCCCCTTCAATATTGAAATTTCATCCATTCCCACAATTTACAATGAAGAAAAGTAATACCTTAGACCTCATTAAGAAGAAACTAGCAGCAGGGCCTGGTAGGTAGTTCAGGCCAGTAATCCCGGCTATGCCTGGAAGCTGATTTCCAAGTCAGAAAATGACTTGACAAAGATTGGCCTAATAGGTAAAATGAGGGTGGAGAATTAAGGGTTCAGGGCCTATCTTCATTGCAGAATGAGATCAAAGTCAGCTAGGGCAACCTTGTAAGACCCTCTCTCAGAATTAAAGTTCGAATTTAAAACAAGATTAAGCAAACAAATGATATGGCACTTGCCCAGAATGTAAGAAGCTATCAGTGCAGTCTCTAGCACTGTTAACGGGCTGCGGTGGAGTAGGAGGAGAGTTGCTCCTAAGACAGACATTAGAAAGAGAAAGGCAGACTATGAGTAAGTTCTAAAGGCCTAGCTTATGAAGGTCTTAAAGTCAGGGGGATAAACTCAGAAGTACCGGTTTCTCAGTGTGCCATCTCAAGGGCCACACCGTGCTGGAACTGCCTTTGACACAGCACGTTGGAAAGTTTTGTGGATTGGCATATCCGTTTTTGAACAGATGGAATAAGACCAAGGCTTTGACCTTGTTCTGGGCTCTGCTCTCTTCCCCACACCGTCGACCTTGGTGATCTCTCCACATCAAAGATTGCACAGTGATCACTTGGCATCTGAGGAGAATTGTACTTCATAGAAAGCATTCTGTTTCCAGTTCCCCTCAGAACACATGTGATTGGAGCTGCATTCATTTTTTTAGTATTGGGAGAGGGAAAGACTTGTACAAAACTGCCTTCCTTTCTCTTTAAATGCACTTTATTTTTCTCTTCGCTGAATGTGCAACACACAAGGAGAAATCTTGGGAAATGGATGGTCATTCCAGAAAGTTAAAAATACATTTACGAACAGTTAAGAATCATCATTTAGGGAAACAGAGTATAAACAGGAAAATTAATTCAGATTGTGACAAAAAGAAAAAAACAGCTACAGGCAAGATGTCCTCACAAAGCTTTTCGTCTCTGACACATCAGCCGGCAGCGTCCAGATGTCCGTGAGCCCCCTAGGCAGAGCTTGGCACCCTTGAGGTGCCCACAAGCCTCCGCTCAATTCATGTTCAATATTTGAAAGAGACATTGAATTTGCTGCTCTTCTGGCATACAAAGAAAGCGTTTATCAAAGAGAGAACCCAAGATTTACTTGACCACATAAAAGTTACCTTTAACTACTTCTAGATAATATTTTTTAAAAAAATCTTGGTTGTGTTCTCATTTTCACGTCTTAAGAAAGCAAAGAGTAGCTTGCTGAAGGACGTGCCCTGGATTAATTTCATGACAAAATTAGACTCCACCTGTAGTTTGCAAGATACAGAGCCCTTTTGCTCCTATATTATAGTGAGCCAAGAAAATGGCATCGTCCTTGTAAATTTGCTGTTAAACATTAGTCACAGAAGGAAATATACATCTGAGGTCACTGACTCCAAGCCCTTGATATAAATGTACTTAAAACTTCAAAACACTAGCAAGTTCCATTTATCTATGAGAAGAGACATTGACTTTGCTTTTGAACAATTTAGGAAGTTGTTGCTGTACTAACTTCCGTGTCTGGTGGTTTACCTGCCCTGCCTGTAGACCGTTCTTTTCGTGTCATGCTCCAGAGTCCGAGTGACAGACTCGAAAACCATGAAACTGTGAGCAGGATTACCATCCACCAGGAAACGAAAAGCTTCTTTTGATGGATAATTTTAAATATGCAATTTATTTTTTTAATCCTGCCTTATTGTTTTCAGGGTGGTTTTTGTTTGGTTTATTGTTGTTGTTTTCAGTTGTTAATGCTCTTGTTCTCCAAATCTAAGGGTCAGCGTCATCACCAGAGTTCATCAGAAAGCACGGCAATCTCCTAGGTTTTCCTCATCAGGTTTTACCAGAAAGCATAGGTTTTATTCCCAAAACCACATCCAAAAAGACAAGTGGTTAAGGCTTTCTCACATGACTCCCAGCCACGGAATGGCAACTAACTAATGGTGACTAATACTGGTAATTATAAAGGTAGCTTCTCGAACTAAATTGAAGAAATGAATTCTCTAACCAAACAATCTCCTCAACATTCATATTAGCACACCCGTAACTCCTATGCTTTTAAAGACTGTACGTTTTAGTCATGGGAAGTAAAAGCTGTGACTGGGAGATGTCTCCACTTGCAACATTGCTTGGTGTGGACGCACAGGGCAAGAGAGAGAGGTGGAAACAGGAGACTGCCTCCCCAGGAGCTCTGGGACCACTCAGCCTGGCATTCACATGAGCAAACAGCCAAGAAACCCTCTTGCAATCAAGATGGAAGGCAAGGACCAACAATCGTGGTTGTCCTTCACACACATGCCATAGCACATTCACGCCTGCACTCATACACACAAACACAAGCACACATGCACACATATCATACACAGCACAAATGCATACATCCTATATGCTCCTTCACACATGTCAGAAACACAGACACGTGATACACAACACGTACAAATGAAAATATAAGCTACAGGTGAGTGTTAGCTGCCTTATGTGTCTAGAAGTCATAAGAAGAAAACCACTTTTACTTGGTGTGTGAAAAGCACCTAATGCTTTCATCAGAAATGTATTATACTGTGTGGGCCTCGGTTTAGCTAGCCCATACATGACCCATGACCACTGAGTGCTGGAAATAAGGCTAGTCTAAGCCAAGATGTGTTGTCAATGGAAAAATGCACATTGGATCTTAAAAATTTAGCATGGAAAATACTCATATAAAGCTTTCCTGATACTTTATGCTGACTATAAATTTGAGTGGTATTATTTTGTACAAACCCAACTAAGTAAAGCACAATCTAAAATTCCTCGTGATTCCAGTCCCTTCTCCAAAGTGAGGGACCATGACTGCCAACACACATTTACATTACAAATATCTGTAATGCAATTTCCTGAAGGAATCTTAAAATTTGATTATCTATATCTAAACCTAAGCTATTTCATCTGATGATTTTTCCCCTTTCAACATAGCTACTAGGGACCAAGAGCAAACACAATAGCAAAGCATGTGCTTAGCATGAACTAGACCAGAGGTTCTCAATCTGTGGGTTGCAACCCCTTTGGGTTTGAATGACCTTATCACAGGGGTCACCTAAGATTGTTAGAAAACACAAATGTTTACATTACAGTTCATAGCAGTGGCAAGATTACAGTTATAAAGTAGCAACGAATATGATTTTATGTTTGGATGAGGTTGAGAGGGAAGAAAGGACGTGGCTTGAGATTCATTCTCTTTCTCTCCCTTTTTAAATGTGCCCTGTACAAAGGGAGCAATGAGAAATGGATAAGAAACAAAGACTAAATAAAATACCTGAAATTATTCAGATATATGCAGAAGAAAAATTAAGAGAATGAGAGCTATTCTTAATTTGAAATAAACATATTTTCTCCACATTGTATTCAAGGGCTATTAGACAAAAAAATCTTTCAAAATGAAGTTTTTAAAAACTGACCACAGAGATAAAATCATATGCTAATTTTTTCCAACAATTATTTATGTATAGTTCTTTTTGTTTCTAATGAAGAATCTTGCAGAAGACAGGAAGGAAGGATTGTAGGAGCCAGAGGGGTCAAGGTACCAGGAGAACAAGGCCTACAGAATCAACTAAGCAGGGCTTATAGGGGCTCACAGAGACTGAAGCAGTAAACATGGAGCCTGCACGGGTCTGCACTAGGTCCCCTGTATATACGTTAAGACTTTTAAGCTTGGTATTTTGTGGGACTCATAATGGTTGGAGTGGGAATATCTCTGACTCTTTGGCCTGCTCCTGGGACCTTTTTTCTTCTACTGGGTTGTCTCATCCAGCCGTGATGTGAGGGATTGTGCTTAGTCTTACTTATCTTGTTGTGCTGTGTTTGGTTGATATCCTTGGGAGGCCTGCTTCTTTCTGAAGGGAAATGGATGAGCAGTGGATCTGGGGAAAGGAGGAGGTGGAAGGGGAAAGGGACCAAGAGGAGGAGTGGAGAGAGGGGAAACTGCAGTAGGAATGTATTGAAAACAAAACAAAATTAAATTAGATTGTTTTAGAAAAAGGAATTCCTTTTGGGATTAGAGAGATAGCTTAGCTGTCTAGGGCATTTGTTTGCCTCTGCAGAGAACGTGGATTCTGTTTTCTGTACCCAAATGGTTGCTCACAACCATCCATAACTCCAATTCTAAGGGATCTGAGGTCCATTTTGGCCTCTGTACACAACAAACACACACATGGCATGCACACGTGCAGGCAGGTAAGCATTCATACATATAAAATAAATAAATAAGTTAAATTAATGAAAGTTCTGTTACGGGATGAATAGTTTTGCAGTTACACGATGCCTTTAGCCTTCTGTTGACTTCCAGAAGCTACTCTGTTTGTGTGTGTAGAGAAAGTACTTCTTTGGGTTTTACTTTTTACTCTCTTAAAGACTTTGGTTGAACAGTTTATATTGCCATTACTTATTTTTAAGCAAAGTTGAAGTTTATTAAGAAACTATTTTAACAGAGTAAGTACTGGCAGAGAAAAGAGTAAGGGAGAGATTGTATTCTCATCTAAAAATTAATTTGAAGAGAGATTGAGAAAGAGAGGAAGACGGGGTGGAGGGTCATTTTAAGTAACTGAATGAAATGAAGCAGAGGGAAAGAATTCCAGCTTCGCTGCATCCAGGAAATTAATCACTCTGGTCCTCCGAACACGTGGCACAAAAGACTCATCTGGCCTTGCCTTCTTTCTTCCCTTGAGTCCACTGTCTTGTTTTTATCCTTTTGCATCTTATATTCATTTAAGTTTGACTACTTTTATGTAGTTAGTGGTAGGATGGCTTGGGCTCTGCCTACCATCCTACAGCCTTAGCCGTGGTTGGAAATGGCTCATAATGGGGAGCCATTGGCTTCCAGGGTAAGAAACAATAACAACATTTTTAAAAAGATTTATTTATTTATTATGTATACAACATTCCTTCCATGTATGCTTGCTTGCCAGAAGAGGGCACGAGATCTCATTATAGATGGCTGTGAGCCACCATGTGGTTGCTGGGAATTGAACTCAGGACCTCTGGAAGAGCAGTCAGTGCTCTTAACCTCTGAGCCTTCTCTCCAGCCCCAATAACAACATTATTTGCTAAAGTTATTAAACTCCTTTTTTTTCTAGAATTTTATGGCCACTGTTTTGATTTGGCTTTGAAAGTTTTAAGAAACTGAATCATTAAGAGAAATTGAGAGAGAGAGAGAGAGAGAGAGAGAGAGAGAGAGAGAGAGAGAGAGAGAAACTGAACCATTACTGTTTTGCTTTGTTTTTCCTCTGTAAAAATGCAGAATGTGGCCGTGGCCCCTGGCTCAGCCGACAGGGTTGCTAATGGTGATGGAATGCCTGGAGATGAACAAGCAGAAAACAAGGAAGAAGACACATCCGGGGTTGTGAAGTTTGGATGGGTGAAAGGCGTGCTGGTGAGAAAACTTCTGCTTACAAAGGAGAGCATCCGCCCGGTGATCCGACGGGCTTCACCAGCTAACCATAGACACCAGAGTTACCAAGGGGGTTGGCTGGGCTTGGCTCAGGACCCCTTTCCATCCTCACTCTCATCCACAGGTGAGGTGCATGCTGAACATCTGGGGAGTCATGCTCTTCATTCGCCTCTCCTGGATTGTCGGAGAAGCCGGAATTGGTGAGCAATTTCCCCTCCTAAATGATTTTATGCAAATTGCAAGCTTAATAACAAACTGGGTTCCCTATCAAAGCTGCAGAAGATGAAGGTCACAGAAGACATTTACACTTGACCTGACAATGCCAGGAAGGAAAGGTGAAACACTAACTCCTGAGAGACTGGAATTTTCCAGTTGGCTCAACAGGGGAATGGCCAAGCAAGTATTTCTCCCTTCTTATAGAGTTTCAAGCATATGGTTGTATGAAGCATATCTATTTCAAATACCGATAGGATATTTGAAATATCCTATATATATATATATATATATATATATATTTGGAATATCCTATATATATATATTTGGGATATATTGACATTTGCATTTTATTTGCTTCAGACTGTCCCACTTATGAAAAATAACAAAGCTTCACTTAGCAAAACAACTTGTGGGGAAGTGTAAAAATGTGCACGCAACTACATATGTGACCTGATTCATAAAAATGCCATGTTGCTGAACATTTTCCAAAGAAAATAACTGTGTTTCTGTCAGATACCAGCAGTAAATAGCAAATGCTCGTAAAATATTCCCAACTACAGGCTTTGAATGATAGTTGAAATGACTCCAGTCATGGCAAATGATTACTTACAATGTAGGTAACCAATTTAAAAACAATCGTATTTTTAAAAGTTGTATTATTCCAGGAGTGATGATTTATTGCTTTTCAATAACTTGCCACGTAAAAATTCAGTTCTACAGTGTTTTTATTAAGAGTGTAAAATTTATTTGAAAAACTTAGTTGTGTTTTTACCTAAGTTCCTAACTTACTGTGATAAAAATCGACAGTGTTCTGTTCTATGTACTCGGAAAAGGTGGGTTGAGTATTGAGGGGAGACTTAGATGTGAGTGTTGGTATGGAGAACACAGAAGTTCAGCTGTGCCTTTCTATGCTGCTCAGGAAGACATCTCAGTTTGTGTATGGAAAGTACCTGGTGTTATCTCCTTCCTTCAACACACCTTCAGAACCAGCAGTTGACAACTGGACCAGGAAGGCTCCCCGCCAACGGGGAGCACTGAGCCAGCCCCGTCGTTTTTTTTCCATGTTTCTCACTCAACAGCTGCTATGTGCCTGACAAAAAGGCTGCTTGCTGGTTTGATGATGCGTAGCAAATGAATGCCTACAGCCGCGGGGTCCAAAATAAGTAGATGCCGTTCCACGGAAAATCTGCAGCTTAATATTGCCAAGGCTTTGCTCCAGGCCTTCATGCAAAATTAGGTTTTTAAGGGCAGTTTAGTAACTTATTGAGATCATCAAGACGCAGTTCTTTGTGTGGAGGTGTGAGCACAGACAGCCAAAGGCAAGAGTAATTCGTTCTAATGTATGTATTTAACACCCATATGTTTGGGCAACAGTCTGAACTTTAATCAGATCTTACACAACCCTTCACAATCAACCCAGTTTCAGGTTTATTACGAAGATATAAAGGATGCTTTCTCTGCTAAGCTTCTTGCTTCACTTTCAGACATTAGTGTGACTAAACAAAATCGCTTCGTTTGTGCAGTGGAATCACACACAGAAGTCAGCAGCGACCGCTCTCACCTCCATTGACTGCAGTTGTTGGCGTTGCTTTTTCCTCATGCCCTTTTAAATCTCAGAGCATAGAACGTAGTGAGTAGTAGAAACATCTTATCAACCTACATCGGGTTTTTTTGAAGTTTTTTAAAATATTTATTTATTTATTATGTATATAATATTCTGTCTGTGTGTATGCCTGAAGGCCAGAAGAGGACACCAGACCATTACAGATGGTTGTGAGCCACCATGTGGTTGCTGGGAATTGAACTCAGGACCTTTGGAAGAGCAGGCAATGCTCTTAACCACTGAGCCATCTCTCCAGTCCCATCGACCTAGATTGTTATAGACCTAAAACTAATGGAACCAAATGGTCCCATTTGGGTTTTGTATATTGCTTTTTTCCCCCACCAATTTTGCTGACATTCCTCTCTAGGGTCTGACTAAATTTGTATCATCCTTCAGGTCCTGGATCATTTTTGTCAGAACTTTTGAAATCTTCATCCGACACTTGCCCAAAGTCAGCTTCATTGTTCCTTTGTTAAGATGATATACAGGTGTTCTATCCATCCCTCTGCATCTTTGAGTTTGGGCCCGCTGGTTTGGGTGACTCTTCTGCTGAGGGGTCCTCTTAATGAGCCTCCTACTTAAAGACTCAATCCCTGGTATCATTTGTTGAGGCATCTTAACACACACACACACACACACACACACACACACACACACACACACACACAAAACTGTCCAGCTGACACTGTGTTCGGCTTACTTCTCTAGAAAAGACACGAATGCAAGTGTTTTCCTCTTGCTTTAGGCATAGTTTAGGGAAAGAAAACAAGTTATATATTTTCGAATCCAGAGCCTGGGGATAAGCCAGGAGGAATCTGATGACTGTAGTTACAGTTTACGGGCAGCCATTCTGGGACTCTGAGTCTGGGCTGCCCTATTCCTAAAAACGTGGCAGACTGAGTTGATAATGCCGTCCAGTTGTTCCTCTCTTTGGACACCTAGCTGGGGCAGTATCATTTCCAATTAACTCAACATTAGACAGGAAAGTTGGGCATGAAAAGTAGATGTGAACCGAAGCAAGTCACTTCCACTCTGAATTTTACTTTGCAGCTAAAACATTTTAAAAACTGAGTTAATTCTTCCCCTCAACCAATTATTTAAAGAAAAAAAAAATCTTGCTGAATGGGCAGATACAAGTTGAGATGGGCTAAGGCTAAGCTACTCATCTCACTACAGGAAGGGCAAGAATTATCTGAAGTGGGATAGAAGACTGCAGAGCTGGGATTCACTTTCAAAGCTTTGAACCCAGCAAATGTGGACATTTCTAGCAGGCATCCCCAGGACTTCCTGTAGCAGGCCATGAAAGAGCCACGATTTGCGGAATCAACGAACTGAATGCTCCCTCAGCTGCCATTTACCCTAGGACTTGTCCTTTGTTTGTTTGTGAGAAAGAAGAAAGCTTCTCAACATATTAAAGTAGAAACTGGTGTTCAAACCGGCTACAGAAATGTCCGCAGCACGACAGAGTGTGGTGAAATTGCTCAGGAGACAGTGGTCAGGAAAGAATGAAGTAAGAGAGGGAGTGATGTCATGTCATGCCAACTGGCGAGCCCGTGAAGTGTCTAGGGGGTGCTAAACGTTCATCCTCAAACACCCTAAAGAGCAAAATGATGTGTAGAGGCTGGGAAGAAACCACCTTTCGTGGCACAAGCACCTGAAGCCACACTGGAAAAGGGATGCTCCTCATAGTGTCTCTGTCACCCAAAACATTCAGTGTGACAGCTTCTTACAACCTCCTCTCCAAGGGTCTGTGGCGGGGGTGGCGAAGTAGGAATGACTGCCTTATATGTGGGAGAGCAGTCAAGGGGACAGAGAAGAACACTCGGGAGTCACTGAACTCCCCCAATCTTCTCTCTGAATTCCATATCAGTTTCTCATGACAGGGGAAGAGGAGTGTAAAAAGTTTCCTTCTGTCCCTCTCGGGTCCATAGCCTCATACTTTAGACTGTCAGACATCATATTGACAAATGAATGTGCTTATTAATGTCTTGTGCACACTCATGGGAGGACACGGTGGTGGGTGGTGATGCAGAGGGGTGGTGGGAACACTTGTATATTATCCTAACAAAGGAACAATGAAGCTGCAGGAAACCCACTAGACAAAAAGAAGGGAATTTGAGTTTCTAGGGTGGCCAACTGTGGGAAGGGAAATAGAGAAATTAAAAAGACTAATCCAGAAGGTTCCTGGGTTCCTGAAGAATCCTCTGCAATCTGGTAAAGGCCTGCACATGTCTCTGTGGTTGAGCATCAGTCCTTCCAGATAACGGAAGCATGGACGCATTCACACGTGTATGCCCCTGACCTGGACAAATAGAAAAGCCGAGAGCTTTCCTTGTGCCTGCTCAGTTTATTTTCACTTATGTAGTTTTTTTTTTAAAAAAAAATTCTTATACCACAGTGATATATTCTAATACATTCTATGCCTTCTATGCCTGCCTAAATGCCCCTCACGTGCAAGCGCGCACATGCGCGTGCACACACAGACGCACACACACACACCTGCTGTGTGTGTCTTGAAACTAAAAGTATGTAAGCCTTTCCTTTGAATTTTGGCCTTTGTCAGTTTCTCCTCATAACCGCTGCCCTTCTGAACCACAATATCCTCAAAGGTGGCTTTTTCATTCTGGTGTGTTTGCGGCTTGCATTTCTCACGCTGCCAACCACCCAGCTAGACATGCAGAAGGCTTTTCAGGAACGCTGGTATTTATGGGTGTGGTGGGTACACTGAGCGAGCCACCAGTGAGTTCTGCCCTCTGTGCACCATGTCAGCAACTTCACACACCCACTCCTAATGGAACTGCCATTCGGGTGTCAGAAAATAAGTAAATTCTGAGAACACAGCGCAAATAAGTTAATGTCCCTAAATTCGGTTCTGTCCGATTTACCCATCTACCTAATGAACAATTTGCTAATGAAGACTTTTACGGGGAAAGTTAGAATAACCTTCATTTATACTAATGGCTGGAGGCTGTGGGGAACTTCATTAAAGGCCAGGTTCATCCTATGCTTTAACCAGCCTGACACTTGGGGGCGGCACAGCTCGGCACGCCCCTAATTTTAACTCTCTTAGTACCTGAATGGCGATTTCATGGCCAGCTTGTTTAATTCAAATGTGATCCTTCAATGCCTACCCAGATGTGTTTGCTTTTATGTAAATGACCCAATGAGCCGTTCCGCCATTTAATCGCCCGTATTTTTCCTCTCTCAACCGAGGTCTTGGTGTGATTATCATCGGCTTAGCCGTGACAGTGACAGCCATCACTGGTTTATCCACCTCTGCTATCGCCACAAATGGATATGTCAGAGGAGGTAATTAAGGTTGTGAGCCAGTTCATCAGGCATAAGGTAAAGGTGACACAGGCTCCAATAGCTCACCGCTGACCTTTCTGGGGTGTTTTCGAAGGTAATGTGAGTTGGTGCCTTTTTCCCCCAGGCAAAGGGTGCAAGAAAAATGAAGAAGGGTTTAACCTTTGTCAAATCCCAAACTTTCCCATTCAGGTTCCTCTCAAACAAGAGAGAAGGTCAAATGTCATGTTTCCTCTTTCACGGCCGGGGTAGCTTCTCTCCCAGGACACCGAGAGGAGCCGGCTTTTCCTCTGCAGGACTGTACGTTAGACCGTGTTGACTCCGGGATGCCATCCTTCATCATAATGAGCGCTCCTTGGACTCGATCTTTATGCCAGGCATACCAACCCTCCCTTTGTACAAAGAAACCCCACTGGGGCCCAAGGCATGGACCGGAAAAGTTCAATTAAAAGGCAGTAGAGGTTGCAGGAGTAGGGACTTCAAGGAAGAAGACTAAAATGTCATATCTTCTGTCTTTCATTGCTGACAGGTCTTGGAGTTCTTATAATTCTTCTTTCCACCATGGTAACCTCTATCACTGGGTTGTCAACTTCCGCAATAGCAACCAACGGGTTTGTTCGTGGAGGTAAAATCTCTAAGATCCCTACTGTCCTCATCACGTTACGGGTAGGCACACGTTTCTATATACTCGGTTGCTGATGGGCACAGGGAAGTGTGGAGGAGCCGGATGCAGACAGCAGCACGGTGAGTGTAAGTTCAAGTCCACCCAGGTCCCGGCTAACAGAATCCTGGCACATTACAGGTCCTGTCGCAGGTGCGCGGAGTCCTTGGGGAAAGCTCTCCTCTTCCAGGTCAGTCTGTACAGTCTTGCTGGACGTTCACAGGCAATGACTCCTCAGAACGGCGGCAGTTTGAAGCACAGTGCATTTCAGGTGTCTCCTACTCGGTCGCGGAATGGGACCAGTTAGAACATTTCAGGTTTCTGCAGGGAGACGGATCTTCTGTGCCTGGCGCTTCCTGAAGGAATGGTGATCTCTCTCCCTACTGGAGTCAAACGCCTTTGTTGGGGGTTTTGCAGGTCTGGGAGTCATCATCATCGCCCTGAGCGTAGTAGTGACGACACTCACAGGTATTTCAATGTCCGCCATTTGCACAAACGGAGTAGTTCGAGGAGGTAAGCCAACTGATTTACTTGTGGTTATAAACTATGACTTCATATCCTGTCTAGAGTTGTTTACTAACTGAGTGTGTAGATTCTATGTTGCTAACTGGCCCCCAAGACTTGAAAGAAAACAAAATAAAGCAAGATCCAAAAGCAAGGTAAAATTCTTCTCCACTGAGAACAAGATCTGGAGAAAGGGCTCCTTTGATTCATTTCCTGTGACGAATCCCAATGGGTGCTCAGCACCAGGGTGAGCTATACTGCTCCCTCCTGGGTCCCCTCAGCCTGGGTGTTCCCCGACATCCCACCTCACAGTGGTGATTCTCACACAGACAGCACTCCTGCCCCAGCCTTCAGGTTTTCCCCAAATACTCTGCTTCTATCATAAAACGTCACCAAAAAGAACATTTAAAAAAAATAAATGAAACAATGAATTACTGTCAGGTTTTCAGGAGCAGGCAGGCTGGGGTAGAAAACAACGGAGATGAAGTTTGTCCCTGTCCTGACTGCCCTCGCCCTGCTCCTCGGGTTCACTAATTTTTGCCTTGGCTGTGTTATCCAAGTCTCCCTGCTTGGGAATTTTGTTGTCAGTGATGGGTTCTGTGGGGGAGGGGTTGTTTTTGTATTTTTAAGATTTATTTTTTTTCTTTAATCGCACACGCGTGTGCGCGCGCGTGTGCATGTGTGTGTGTGTAACGGGGTATGTTCACATCAGTATAGGAGCCAGAGGCCAGAAAGCAGCAGTAGAGTTCCAGGTGGGTGTGAACTACTTGGATGCTGGGCACTCAGGTCCTCTGCTAAAACATATACACTCTCAGCCACTGAGCCATCTCTAGTGTGATTTTGGTGTTTTGAGACAAAGTCTTACTCCGCAGGGCCATATTGACCTTGATTCCATGGTGATCCACTCGTCTTAGCCTTCCAAATCCCTTGGTTGCAGGCACAAGTACCACCCTTCTTCCCCCTACCCCACGCAAGGCTTTCTAAAACATAACCCTAGCCACAGAACACCTTCTCTCTCAATTTATGTTTTATTCATTGCTTTTTAAAGATTTATCTTATTTTATGTGCATGAGTATTTTGCCTGCATCTCTGTGTATGTACCCTGTGTGTACTTGGTGCCTGAGGCAATCAGAGAGGGCATGGGAACAACTGGACCTAAACTGATATATGGTCTTGAGCCACCGCTTGAGTGCTGAGAATTGAACCTGGGTCCTCTGCAAGAACAAGTGCTCCTAACCACTGAGCCAGTTCTCCAGCCCCTACCTGTCTCTTGTTTTTACTGTTATGCCCATGTAACTGCCCAGCCAATTTGTCGAGCAAAGTTAAGTTTTAAAACTCCAGGGGATTTGCTCTACATTCCATTTTGAGAATTTACCCACATTGAGCACAGTTTCTCCTCCATAAAAGGGAGTTTGTTCTGAGTTTTCTTGTCCCATGCCGACTTCGCAAAATGCCCATGACCAGCTCCACCTAAGAGGTCATTACAATGTCTAATCCCTCGCCAGCCTGTCTTAGTGTCAGTCACTTGCTCTGAGCTGTAAAGCAACCCACTTGGGTTTTCATGTCACAGAAGCGGGTGGCCAATCACAAAGCTATTCTTTAGTGTTCAGGGAAGAGCATTGGTTCCCAGCACTCCCCTGTTCTTCTCTCTGTCCCACAGCCTTATCATGGGAATTGACACTTCATTAGGCTAAACCCGGAAAACAGGCCTGCTTTCCAGAGTGGGTAACACACACCCCAACAGAGATGCTCATTTTACAGATTAGCTACCAGAAAAGTTTAGACAATAGAATGGAAGCCAGAAAATAAAATAAAAATAAAAAGGATCAACCACTTTGTTCTTTTGAGTCAGTGTTTTATGTAGCCCAGGCTAGTCTTCAGTTTCCTATAACTGAGGATGACCCTGAAGACCTAACCCTCCTGCCTCTGCCTCCCAAGGGCCAGGATGCCAGGCTTATGCCACAGCACCTGAAAAGAACAAGTCTTGCCATTCATTTTCTACCCTGGTCTGTCAGTTTCTGGAAATTTTTAATTTAAAATTTTACTTCAGTCCCACTCTTCACGTGGATGCCCTAAATCAATTTTTTAAAAAGACAAACCTTTTGGGCAAAGCTTGTTGCTATTATTTATTAACTTAGATCAGGATTCTAACTTGGAAGTTTCAACAGACTGAATTTTATTGGCACGTACTTGGCGGACTCCGCATAGCGTACGAGGCAGGTCTGCCTGCGGGGCCTCCTTATGATGACCCAGGATTTATAGTATGCTTAGGAATCCGTCGTACTCTTCGTGGGATGATTAGCAGTTGGAGATTAACCACAGGGGTTGAAGAGCCCGGCATCCCCTCCAGGTGACACGCGCTGCTCTCTTGTTGCAGGAGGAGCCTACTACCTGATTTCCCGGAGCTTAGGGCCCGAGTTCGGAGGATCTATAGGCTTGATCTTTGCTTTCGCCAACGCAGTGGCTGTCGCCATGTATGTGGTGGGGTTCGCAGAGACTGTGGTCGATCTCCTTAAGGTAATTAAAGCTCTTCTCTGTACAGACAAAGAAAGTAGCTCAGCTTTCCTTTTCAGGGCCCTAGGGGATAGTTCCAGGTCAAGATAAGAGAAGGAGATTTCAGGGTCAGGGCCGGAGCCCCAGGCATAAGGTCAGAAGGTCTGGCTTTGAGTTCAGCTCTCACCTTACCACCTGGGAGACTTTAGACCAGTTTCCTCTACATCTGAGGCTTATTTATTTTCTAAAGCTGAACGAGGAGCTAATTTACTGCTTTATGCATTTCGCAGGAGTTCCATGCATATCAGATGGGAAGGATGTGTATGGAAAGTGTGCAAAATACAAAGCTTCAGGTAGAGGACAGGCATCATTTCCTGTAGGCACACCACTGATGCTCACAAGGTTTCCAAAGATGAAGAAGGTTCAAACATGGGCACAACTTGCTGCAGAAAATGAGGCCTCTCTTAGCTAAGGGCCCAACCCAGGTGCTCTGGGAACAAGGTCTTTAAGCCTGTGTAGTATGGTAACTCCTCACTGTCTCACCTTAAACGCTCTACTAGTGAAAGTATATGAATCAATGAACATAGTGTGTATTCTTAAGGTATATTCTCTTGAAGAGATGTGTTACTGAGTTTGTGTTTTCTGTTATTAAGTTGAACAATGTTTATTTTCCAATATTCATATTGTAAACAACCATTTTTATTCTTCTAAAATCCCCCTTGGCATATGAAAGTAGCTAGTCTCTTTTGCTGAAGTACCACACAAAAGATGTGGTCATGCAGACTTCTAGCCAGTGCTACATTATCTCCCACATCTGAGGCTAGGCGTTTCTAGCCTTTCTAACCCCTAGCCTTGCCTATCAAAGGCCTACATCACAGATAAAGTAAAATTAGAATTTTTCTCTATTTTGTCTTCTGGAACTTACAAATACTTCATTTTCTTAATATCCTATATGCCCCCCCCAGGCATTTGTGTACAGTATCCTTTCTTCATGTTGAATAGTATAAAAAAAATACTGAGTGCAAAGAACTATCTCTAATCATTTGAGTGATTCCTTCCCCCCAGGAGAGTGATTCAATGATGGTGGATCCAACCAATGACATCCGGATAATTGGTTCCATCACCGTGGTGATTCTCCTAGGAATCTCAGTAGCTGGGATGGAGTGGGAAGCGAAGGTAGGTGTCTCTAAACAACACTGTGACAAGTGCTGGCCAGGCCCTGACTTACTCACAGCAGAAGGAACACCATATTCACAAAGAACAGCTGCCATTCCTTCATTATAGCAAAATACATGAGTACATGCAAGGTGGCCGTCGTACCACTAAGTTCCTGTAGTTGAACTTTCCTTTGGGCCACCAGCTCACACACAATGGCATTGAGACTTGTTGTTACTTATGAAAGGTTGCCCTTAGTTTGGACTTTTTCGTCACTAGCTCTTATAACTTTAATTAAACTGTTTTATTGATGTGAATTCTGCTTCAGACCTTGGTTGCCTCTCCCCTGCACTGTATGTCTGGCATCCCTCGTGTGTCTAGATTCATCCCAAGTTCCTCTCTCTGCCCAGAAGTCCCATCTATTCTCTCCTGCCTACCTATTAGCCATTCAGTTCTTTATTAAACCAATCGTAGTGACACACTGTCACACAGTATAAACAAATATTCTGCACAGTATAAACAAATATTCAAGCAAGTCTGGTCAAGGCTTGATCGTATGTGTCAGGTCATAGGGCCACGTTTCACCTTGCTTGCTGCCATCGTGGTGACACAGCCAGCAAGCCTGATGCATCTTCATGTACAACTCTTGTCCAGACCAGCAACACTGCATACTGGAAATCCAGGTCTTATCCTCAAGACCAGAACAGGGAAGAGGGCAATATATTAAGCTTCAACTGAACAGTGAGAATGTCCAGATTTGAAGCTAATTTACAATGTTGTTGCTTCTAACTCAGTCCCTTTCCCGCGGTGTCACAGGCCCAGGTGATTCTCCTGGTGATTCTTCTCATTGCCATTGCAAACTTCTTCATTGGAACTGTCATTCCATCCAACAACGAGAAGAAGTCTAAAGGCTTCTTCAACTACCAAGGTAAGTGGGGCCAATCAGTCCCTTCTCAGTTAATGTGTCTACATTGTTCTCCCCGTTGCTCCCCAGCCACGAGGATTCCAGTGTAGCCCAGGAAAGGGCCTACAGTTGAATTCAGGAGATCCTATGATGGGGTTTCAGCACTTGTGTACCAGCTGAGCAGGTTATACATACCCTGTTTGGTTCTCAGATTTTCCCATAAAATTAATGATGACAACTTCCTGAGGAAACTTTAAAAAGTAAATATGGAGGGTATATAAAATTTAAAGGCAATTTTGAGAAGTCAGTCTTTTTCCGTTGAAGATGAGAAGGTCTCTTGTAAATCCTTGAATACTGGGTTATCACTAGATGGCTAGACAACAGGAATAGAAGCTATGTGTAGGGAATGAGAACCAGGAGCTGGGGAAGAAAATCAGCCTCTGCTGAGCACTAGCGTCAAATCAAGTCCTCTGTCTTCCTGGGAGATTCTGTAGTGCCCAGTCTTGTGGGACATAACCTGCGGGGACCACTGTCAACCGTTCAAGCTGAGTTAGGAGGCTGGAGACACCTCTCAACCCTCCACAGTAGCTCATAAGCATCTGTACCTACAGTTCCAGGGGATCCAGCGCCCTCTTCTGGCCTCTGTAGGCACCAGGCAGGCAAACAGTATAGATACATACATACATACAAGGCAAAACATATGCATGTGTATCTCCTTGTGGTAACATCAAAGCATGCAAATTTGACTTTTCTCTTCCAGTTCTGCTTCTTCCACCTTCTTATTTTCTAACCTAGATTACTCAATACACAGCTAAGGCTTTAAAAAATATCATTTGCTCGATTGCATATTCAGTTATCAGTACCTGTGGCCCCTCTCACCATTTTTAAAGCTTGGTCTTTATTGTGGCTCTTTTATTTGCTATGGGTTTTATTGTCCTTTCTTCTCTACCTTTCCCTCTACTTTATATCTTCTGATGTTTTCGGCTTTTCCCCACCTTTTCTCATCCCAGATTCCTTTCTTTGTTTGGTTTCTTTCTCTTTCTCTTTCTTTCTGCCTTTTCTCTAGAAGGCTTTCTTTTCATTTAAGTGATTTGGTGACAACCTACAGGACAGGACAGTATTGCTCGAAGGACAAAGCAACCATATTCTTATTCTCTGAGAATTTGGTGTAAGGACCTGAGATCCAAACTAAGATCTCTGAGAAGAGATCTCTGAGAAGAGCAGAGAGAGCAGAACACTCGAAACAAGTCGCTGCAGCCTGCCTCACAGGGGTCTCTTAAGGCTTGGCAAAGGCCTGAAAAGGCTGTTTAAAGATACATATGTGTGAGAATGTGGTCATGAGGGGGGCATGTGAACATATGTTATATATTTTGAGGTTACTAAAATGTTCCTGCAAAAAAATTCTTGGCAATATTTATTTGTTTTTATATATTTTAATTAAAAAATTTATATGGTACATTCTGATCATAGTTTTTTCTCCCCCACAGCTCCTCCATAATCCTCCCCATCTCCTCACCCACCCAACTCCATGCCTTTTCTTTCTTACTCTCCTTAGAAAACAGATAAATAAACAAACAAAATAAAAAAGTAAAAACACAGAACAAAAGACATAGGCTCACACAAAAACAAAACCCATAAAGCACAAAATCAGAAACCTGTAATAGACAAGTAAAGGAACTGCGAGATGAAAAAGAAGGAGAAAATGTTCAAAAAAAGCAATACGAGACAAAAATACCCCTGAGCTTGTTTTTGTATTGACCAGTTACTGCTTGGCATAGAGCCTCTCATAAGTGTGGCTTGTGTACCCAGTGAGACCCCATTGAAAGAGACTAATTTTTCCTTCCTTCTGCAAGAATTCCTTATTGCTTTTTTCCATTTCTTCTATAGTCAAAGAAGACAAACAAGCTAGGTCTCTAATGACCTTCCCAGAGCTCTGTCGAGAGAGCCAAGAACTGAATGTGTATGTAAATGATAGGCGTTTTGGTACTCAGAGAAGAGTAACCAACAGTTTCGGGTTCACTCTGCTCCCATTCTAAGGATCCATTTCCATTTAGAAACACAGAAGTCAAGAACATAGGCTTCTACAGTGTGCAAAACCCAGCAAGATGATAGTCCTCTCGCTTGCATTTCAGCGTCCATATTTGCAGAAAACTTTGGGCCAAGCTTCACGAAGGGTGAAGGCTTCTTCTCCGTCTTTGCCATCTTTTTCCCCGCTGCCACTGGGATCCTTGCTGGTGCCAACATCTCTGGAGACCTGGAGGTACGCAGTTTCCTCTGCTTTGTAGCCTTGGTGGTGGGAGTGCAGTTGTTGGTAGCGTGAGAAGCTGTACAGACTCAATATGACTTAGGTCCCAGAGACACAAGAATGAAGGTTTCTGCATGATATTTTGGATATTTATTCTATCATTTATCTATCTATCTATCTATCTATCTATCTATCTATCTATCTATCTATC